CCTCTGGAAGGCTTACCTGTGCGGAGGCGAGCAGCCCGTTCCTCCTCCGCACAGGCCCGAAGCTCCCGCAGAACCTGTTTCCGTTCCAGCAACTGTTTGGTCCGGCAGACCTTAGGTGGAGGCAACCCAATGTCAACCTTGTCTCTGGGATCTGCGGAGGGAAGATGTGTTGGACAAAGTGGAATCAGGGCTTAGCTAAGCTCCCTGTCCATACTTTTCCTTTCACTAAGCAAACTCTGCTACTAAAGCTTGGCCTTTAATTCACAAAACTAAAACATACCGTGTTGTCAGCTTCACAGATCTGGACTCGTTCCAGTCACTAAGTAAACTGGATACACCATAAGATTCTATTTTCTGATCCCTAAACAAGGTTACATCTGTCTGCATGCATGTGTGCTAGGTTGCTTCGTAGTGTCTGACTGTGCGACCCCATGGACTGTAGCCCGCCAGGCTCCTCTGTCCATGGGATTCTCCAGGCAAGAATATTGGAGTGGGTTGCCATGTCCTCCTTCAGAGCATTCTTTGTCTAGGTCATGGGAAACCCAGGCGGATGGTGACCTAATTATAGCTAGGATCACCTTCAAGCCTGTTAACAGCTGCCCGTGCAGGGTCCCCGAGTCACCATCCCGGGGGCTTTCAATTTAACTCAGCAAAGTATTGGTCATCTGTGGCAGGTGTAGAGATCTAGTGGTGGTCAAGGCAGACAGGATGCCCGTCCTTAGAGAGCTCATAGTCTGGGAGGGAAGCAGCGAAGAGTCAGGATGCACTGTGCCCACGGTGACATCAACACTGTCACAGGAGCACAGAGGGGCGTTCCAACCCAGAATTGGGACGGGGGCGGTTGGGCAGGAAAGGACTTTCGGTGTAGAATGATCAAAGGTGGAAAGCTAATAATGAAAAGAGAATTTTCCAAGGAGGGGGGCCAAAAGGTATGAAAAAATGCTGGCCGGGAGCACGCCGGCGGAATCCACTCCCCCTAGCCTCCGAGTCCCAAGGCGGTGGGGTCACAGCCCAGCTCCGGACACCCCCACCTGACTCCTCCCCGAAATGCTCCCGGTACGTCCGCCACCAGTGCGCGTCCCGCGCCTCCCGCTCCGCCCGGCGCCGGTAGCGGTCGAAGCTGCGGTATTTCTTCAGCCGTTCCAGGTTGCTCACGTCGATGTCCTCGTTGGGCATCGGCCCCAGAGGAGCGGCCCGGCGGCTCAGGGCGGCTGCGGGAGGAAAGCAGGACATCAGGCTGGCCCCGGCCCCCGCGGAGGCCCGGAGCGGGAGCCGGCTCGAGCCCCAGGGTTCGGCTGGACGGGGACCTCCAAGAGCCCCTAGCCCCCAACAGCCCTCACCTGAGGTGCTGAAGCCCCGCCAACTCCGGCTGCCGTTCAGCACGGCCCGCCACCAGGGGGCCGCCATCTTCCCTCAGGCTGGCGTGCCGCCTCTCCGAGGACCCCGCAGAGGTGGCCGGAGCGGCGCCTGAGCGCATGGCGCAGGCCCCGCCCCCGCGTCCTCAGAGCCCCGCCCCCGTCCTGGGCCCGAAGTCCTCCTCTTCCGGGCTGGAGGTGGCTGCGGGTACCCGGCTCCCCTGATTCGGAAGTACCCGGTGGGTGGCGGGGCGGAGCTGCGAGCTGTCCCGCCCCATGCCTGCCGCCGGCCACCAGGGGGCGACACAGACTGGGGGCGGTCGGCCGGGCTTGTAGCCGCCGCCACTGGAGAAGGTCCGCCCGTTGCGGGGATCGGGGCTGGGCTTCCCTGGTGGCTCAGCTGGTAAAGAATCCTGCAGCGTGGGAGACCTGGGTTCAGTCCCTGGGTGGGGAAGATCCCCGGAGAAGGGAAAGGCCACCCACTCCAGTGTTCTGGCCTGGAGAACTCCATGGACTGTATAGTCCATGGGGTCGCGAAGGGTCTCCCAAGCCCTGAAGGCAGCGTCCTCAGCCCCTGCCGTGCTGTAGCAGCACGGGCAGCGGTAGGGGTTATGAACAGGGCCTCGGGTTCCCCTGCCTGGGTTCATATTCTGGGATGTGACTTTCCCTTCGCCTTTGCAGTTTACCTCACTCGGAAAGAAAGTAGGTAGTAATAGTGCTTTATCTCATAAAGGCTGTTAAGTGTTAAATGAATTAACATATATAAAGCATTTGCTGTGGTATGAAAGTGTTAGTCGCTCAGTCCTGCCCTACACTTCGTGATCCTACAGGACTGTAGCCCACCAGGGTCCTCTGTTCATGGGATTTCCCAGGAAAGAATACCAGAGTGGGCTGCCATTTCCTTTCAGGGGATCTTGCCCGCCCAGGGGTGGAACCTGGGTCTCCTGCGTTGCAGGTGAATTCTTTCCTGCCTGAGCCCCCAGGGAAGACCAAACTGTGGCATGTGTGCTCGAGCTGGTTCGGCGTGTCTGACTCCTTCCCACCTCGTAGCCTGTAGCCCTGCAGGCTCCGTGTGATTTTCCAGGCAAGAATAATGGAATAGGTTGTCATTCCCTCCTCCAAAACTGTGCTATATGTGTTAGCTTTTGATTACCTCCAGTTTTTTTGCCTCTGCCTGATGAGATGGTTGGATGACATCACCAACTGGGTGGACATGAGTTTGAGCAAGCTCTGAGAGTTGGTAATGGAATGGGAAGCCTGACATGCTGCAGGCCATGGGTTGCAGCGTCAGACACAACTGAGCAACTGAACTGAAACCTTTTCAGGGTTGTGTTGTTCTTGGGATCAGGTTCTAACAAGATAAAACTTGGCACCCCAGTGACCTGGAGTGGTTTCTTCTGCTCTAGCTCCTCTGTCCTGGAATTCAGGCTCCCATGACACCAACCCTTTGGTAACCTAGCAAAGGGCTGGTGTGCACATGATGCAGACCCAGACTCTGACAGTGGGTTTGGTTTGTGGCAAAGTAAAGACTTATTGCTGGACACCAATAAGGAGGGGAGTGGGAGACAAGCCTCAGATCTACCCCAACTTGGTCTTTGAGTTCGGAGAGTATTTTTTTTTTTTTTTTTTTAAGGCTAGAACAAAGAAGCTGGGGTTAATTATCCTTTTGTGACTTTTTCCCCATCCCATCCCCCCATGACATTTCTTAATTGAAGTTTTGGGTATCTGGATGTTTCTGGTTTATGATTCTCTAGCCAGGTGGTCCATGGCTTGAGGGGGTCTGTTACCTCATCTTGTCCTGGAGAAACAGTCAAAGTTTGCACATTAACAGTGATATCTATTGTAGCAATTTTAGTATACTAACGATGTTATCAACACTAGCAGTTTTAGTCATCTGACTCTGTTTGATTAGTGTCCAGTTAGCACAGGATTGAGGTCAGAAGGTAAAGGAAAGGGAATAAAGTTTTGGACTGAGAGATTAATTAAGTGGTCCCTCCAGGAAGGCTTCCCTGATGTCCCAACCAGGGTTGGTGACCTGTTCAGTTGCTCTGGTACTAGCAGAAGCTTGACCCTCACATTCACACAGAAATGGTGTGAGGGGTCTCTTCATCCAGCAGGAAGTGCCCACGCCTTGAATTTGGTTTTCATCCACAGCAGCCGAAGAGCTGAACTCACCATCAATGCCAGTGCACCCATCAGCACACAGCTGCTGGATGTTAAGCCCGGTAAGACCCAGTTCTGCCCTGAAGGAGCCACTGCTTATTAATTTTCGAAATCCTGCTGATCAACAGCAGAGCCACAGGCTCCGTAAACACAGCAGGCCGGGCCTCAGGCCAGGAGCACAGGGGTTCCTGCCTTCTTAACGTCCTTCGTGTTTACACCTGGCTCCTTTGCTATTTTGTCTTTTACCTTTGCTCTGAATCCTCTTCTACTGGCCTCCAACCCCCACTCCCACCCCAGCCTGCCCCTCTAGAATTGAAGACTCACTGGATCTCCAGGGGCAGAGGCACAGAGCTTGCTGGTCAATCAGGTGGCTCCTATTTCCCCATTATGCCTTACTTTCTTTTAAAAGATGATTTATTTCTGCTTTTTTTTTTTTTTTTTTGGTCACACCTCATAGCATATCATTGTTACTTTCTACCAATATTTCTCTACAGGGAACATCTAGGTTATGACCTTGTGGAGTCGTTTATCATTTTGAAGGGAAAAAGATCAGCAGATACGTACATAACCCTCCTATGAGCAGTCTTCTGCCGCCTGTGGCCTAGGAGAACGTTAATGGAAAGGGGATGAGTGAGCCACCTGCCTCACCTTAATGCAGGGGACGGTGATTCAGAGCAGTCCCAGGCGCTGGGTAAAGAGTTGCCATGACTCAGTGCCCGTGGAGCATCTCCATGTGGCTGTTTCATGGGCACCTAGTTGTCCAGGCCAGGAACCTGGGGGTCTTCCTTGACATATTCTCCTTCCTGACCCTCCGTGTCAGACACCAGGTCCCAGCGCCGTGTCCGGTGCAGTGCTTCCCTGTCCCCACTCTTGCCCGCTCTGGTCAGTCTGGGCTCCACCCACAGCCACAGTTTTCTAAAACGCAAATATGGTCGGATTTCCCTGGTGGTCCAGTGGGTGGGAATCCGCCTGCCAGTGCAGGGGACATGGGTTCGATCTCTGATCTGGAAGGATGCCACATGCCGTGGGGCAACTAAGCCTGTGTACCACATCCACTAAGCCTGCGCCCTAGAGCCCCGGCTCGGCAACAAGAGAAGCCACCGCAGTGAGAAGCCCACGAACCACAACGAGAGGAAAACCTGCACGCAGCGATGAAGACCCAAAGGCACAATCCAAAAATTAATTTTAAAAACCCACAAAAATGGTTCCACCCTGTTTTAAATCCTTCTATGAATAACCACTGCCCTGGACGTAAAAGCTCAAACTTTAACAAGGTATTCAGAGCCTCATCGACCTGCCCCCTAATTCTAAGCTTATTCACTGTGGGCTTCTGCACAGCCTCCAGCGTGTCATCACCTGTGATCGCCTCCTGTGATCACCCATGTATCTGTCAAGTGCTTGCTTAAATGCCAACTTCTCCTAGGCCACGCCCCCAGCCCATCACACAGATGGGAACTCATTAAAAGTGTTAAGAGGACTGAATTCCAAGCTTCAACAAGGCTTTTAATGGCACATGGATGCTTCCCTCCTCAGTGTGGGCACTACCCCCAGCAGCAGCCTGGGGATCTTCTACTTCACAGAAGCTCTGGGTGCAGCACACTTTTCTAGGAGGCAGCTGTGATGTGGCTGAGCGCCCTGGGCTTTGGAACCTGCCCAAGCACAGGTCAAACCCAGGTCTGGCTGTTTGCTGCTGCCTTGGGCAGGTTATTTAACCTCCCGGTCTCAGTCCCTTCATCTGTGAAGTAGGGGTGATAATCACACCTCCTCCGGCCTGTGGTCCAGCCAGGAGAGCGGGGGCAGCTGGAGGGTCCCAGCCACGGTCAGTTTTAGAGCAAATAACAGCCCTACAGAACAAACATTTCTGATAAATAAGTTCCAACTCTGATGAGCCGTGGCAAATTCTGCGAACCCAGTCATGAAGGATATAGCAGTTCAGTGGGTCCAGGAAGAAGGTTGTAAACACATGAGATCCTACTGGAGGCTGTTCTCAAAGAGCAGAGACACCCGTGGGCCCACTTACGCCCCCCTCGGCACTGCCCTCCTCCACCTTCCTGCTCCTCGGATGGTCCTCTCTGATGGGAGGTGAGAGAAGCTGCTCTCGAGGTAACTGATTTTTCTTTTTCCCCCAACAGGGATCAAACCTGCGCATCTTGCAGTGGAAGTGCGGAGTCTTAACCACTGGACTGTCAGGGAAGTTCTGGTAACTGTGATTTTATTAGTTGAGTCCTTGGGCAGTAGACAATTACCAACCCTCTCACCCCTCTCCTGGTGCCCCTCTAGAGGGCCTTGGCCCTCTGCCCGTACGTGGAGAAGGGCAAAGCCCCCCACCTCAGGCAGCAGCCAGGCGCTCTGTACCCTCTCAGGCAGGGGCTTGCTCTGTCATCTTCGTTCCCACCCACTGGGCTTCTGCAGCCAGGGAACAGCACGGAGGAAAGCCTGCCATCCTTCCCCGCATCCTGTCACCCTCTGGAGAGTATATTAGAAGAAGCCGATGAGCCCAGGGTCTGTGCCAGTGAGTCAATTGCCCTGGCAGCTGGGAACGAGGCACAGGTTTTGTGTGCCAGCCTGAGAGCAGGACGGCCTGGCTGAGCCCCAAGAGCACGTCAGAGCTCGAGATAAAAGCAGCGGGCACGGCACCCTCCTTGCCCCTGCAGCACCCCCACCTCATCAGGCAGGAGGCCGGAAGACCCTGTAACGTGTGGCCCGGCTCTACGTCCCTACCAGCGGGGAGACCCCATGCTCTCTGTCAGCCATTCCTTGTGGCAAGGGAGTAGAGAAGCCCCCTGCCTCAGGAGAGGATCAGGTGAAAAGATTCTAAAACCATCCACAGCCGAGGGGGCCCACAGAATCCAGCCAGACCCTAGGTCCTGGGCTGAAAGTCTGTGCGGAGCAGATCCACAGCTGCCACTGACTGTGTCGTGGGGCTGCGTGCCCTCAGCGTGGCGTCTCCCCAGAGGCCGCTGCCTCCCGGGGTGTCTGAGAGGCCTGGGTGCACCCACCTGCCTCAGCTATGGGCTGGAGGGCTCGCAAAGAACCCGCTGGCACCCTGTCCACAGGAAGAGCTGTAATTAGGCCCTGGGCATCGAGGGGTTCTCCTGGGCACCCCTGCTTCCAGCTGGCAGCCAGAGGGTCAGTTGCAGGGTCTGAGGAGGCAGCTGGGCCTTCAGGCCGAGTGGGATGCCATGTTGTAGGCGGCTTTCTTCAGGGTCTCCAGGAAGAACTGTTCGTTCTCCAGAAAGTCGCGGTCCTGAAAGGCAGAGCTGGGTGAGCAGTCACCCTCTGGCTCTCTCTCCTGCACACACTTCTGTGACAGGGATGCGGATTGCTGGACCAGGCATGAGGCAACCCTGGGGGTCAGTGGATCGATCAGTCATGTCCTGGCTCTGCCTGGCTCTGGGATCGGCTGGGGTGGGGCAGGGAACGCACGAGCTCTCCCTCCAGGGGAGGCTACGTGTCAGCACAAGACATGGTCCCTCTTGGCCTGTCTGCAAACTGGAGAAGATGACAGTGCCTGCAGGGAGGGCTGCGGGAGGGGGATCGCTTACAAGGCACAGCGCAGAGCCTGGCGGGCAGGAAATGCTCCCTCAGTGACACCAGGGGCGTCTGCAAGGCCTGTCCTTTACCTGCCGTGCTGCTCTCTGCCGGGAGGGGCATGGGCTCGGCCCTCCCTGGGGCCAGGCTGTGCTCTGCCTGAGCTTCTGGTCCCCACTGTGAACACGAGGAGCCCTGAGTCCAGGGGCAGTGGGTGGGCCTGGGTGGCCTCTGCTCCGGGACGCTTACCTGCTCAGCTGTGTGTCTCAGCAGCACCAGCTTGGCATAGAGATGTGAGGGGCCCAGGCCGACCAGCGGTTGGCTGCGCTGCGGAACGGTGGGGGCAGGTGCCACTGTGGCTGAAAGGCAGAGGAGGATGGGGTTGGGGGCAGGGTGGCGGGAGACCAGGCCAGCCACAGCTGGATCCTGGGGCCTTCTCACTGCCTGGGGTGGGTGCGGCCCGACCACCCTTCCGGGCACATCCAGCTTTCAAAAGCCTTGGAAAATGCTCATAGAATTTTAGCTGCTAAGTTCAATTCTGAAAATTTATTCGAGGAAAATAATCGGGGAGAGATGTATGTATTATACAAAGATTTCCACTGAAGTGCTACTAGTTACCTTATCAACAACAACAACAAAAAACACTCAGGAAATTAGTAAAAATATAGGACAACTCATAATGGCAAATGATGTGGATTAAGAGTTAAATGTTTAATTACCAACATGAGAATATGTTCCATGAATATTTCTGAATTGAAAGCAATAAAGGTACAAAACAATATATGATGCAATCTCATGTTTGTTTGTTTTTTTTAATGGAGGAGAAAGAGTGGCTTTATTTCTTTGCCAGGCAAAGGGGGTGTGGGCTACCACCTCAAGAACTCAATTTTGTTTTTAAAAACATACACACGACAGTGTAGAATATTATGCACCAAAATGTTTATAAAGTGGTTCTAGAGAGTGGGTTGAAGGTAGTTTTTTTTTTTTTTTTTTAATATAAGCATGGTCCATTTTAAAACTTGGCTGTGCTGAGTCTTATTTGCAGAACACGGGATCTAGCTCCCTGACCAGGGTTTCAACCTGGGCCCCCTGCATTGGGAGCTTGGAGTCTTGGACACTGGGCTGCCAGGGAAGTCCTGAGGGAAGTATTTTAAAAACTAGTTTCCCTTCTTCTATTTTTGACCTATTTTTCTATAACATGCATTACTAGCATAAAAAAAAGAAATAACAAGATGACTTTAAAACTAAGCTATGGACTTCCCTGATAGTCCAGTGGTCAAGAATCTGCCTTAAAATTCGGGGGACCTGGGTTCCATCCCTGGTCCGGGAAGATCCCCCATGCCATGAGTCAACTAAGCCTGTGTGCCATCACAAAGACCCAGCAGAGCCAAAAAAAAGTAATAATGAAATAAAAATAATTAACTTAGGTTTTAAAAAAACAAACTCAGCTGCCTCCTATGTTGAGCACACAGGAGGCTGGGCAGGGTGTTGCCGGCATGCTCTGCCCAGTGGGTGGGCTGAGCCGATGTCCCCTCCTCCCGGAGTTACTTACCACTCAGGCCAGAGGCTGCGAGGTCCTGGGCCCTGGAGAGCAGCCCCACTGGGCTGGTGGGCAGGTCCTGTTGGGCACGATCCAGCTGCAGCCGCTGCTGGGCTAGACTCAGATGCTCCTGTCCCGGCCCCCAGAGAGGAGGACACCGCAGTGAGGGCAGAAGGCCGGGGGAGAGGTGCCGGGGGAAGTGTGCCGGGGGCAGAGCCTCTGGGAGGTGCCTTGCCTGGTGCACGTGGCGCTCCTGCTGCCGCAGCCGCTCCTGCTGCTCCTGCACCAGCTGCAGCCGGGCCTGTTGCTCTGATTGCACCTGCTGGGCCTCGCGCAGGGCCCGCTCCCCCTCCTGGTACTTCTTCGAGGCCACCTTGGGGAGGCTACCTGGGTCAGCCAGGCTGGCGGAGGTCAGCGCTCCCCCACCCCCAGCTGCGCCTTGGCACCTGGCTCATGCTCTCCACCTCCTCGGCGCGCAGCCTCATGCGCTGGGCAGCAGCGCTGACCCGCTCCTTCTCCAGACGCAGTTCCTGCCGCTCCTGCTCCAGAGCCTCCCTCTCGGCCGCCAGCCGGTCCTCTTTGGCTCGGAGCTCGCTGGCCCTGATCTTCAGCTCTGCCTGCTCCTGGAGATGGCAAAGCCTGGCTGCATTCTCCTTCCTGGAGTTGAACTGGGCTCTGGGGACCCGCAGGTCGCCCTGCCTCATTGCTGGGGCTGAACTCCACCCTGACTCTGGGAGGAGGTGGTGGGAGACCTGGGGCTCCAGGTCTGAATCCGTTTCTTCATTTCTAGAATATCTAAGTCATGGGAATGTGATGAGGATTAAAAGAGCAAATGAGTATAAAGCACCTGGACGCTAAAAGCAAGTTGTAACTCTGATATGATTGTAGTTGTTTCAGTTCCTATACTCCTGTTACCACTGCTTGCTTTCCTAAGCTGACCATCCTGTGGAGGAGCAGACCCTGAGGGCCAGGGTGGGGAGAGGGGCAGGGCTGTGGGGGGGGGGAGGCTCTGGGTCCTACCTTGGCCAGGCTGACGAGGGTGCCCTCCCGCTGGGCGTCCACCTGCAGCGCCCGCTCCGCCTCGCGCTCGGCCCGCTCCTTACTCAGCTTCTGCTGCGCAAAGAACTCAGCCCACTCGGCCGCCAGGCGCCGCCGCTCCTCCCCGCACTTGTGCATGACGGACTTCTGCTCCTCCAGCAAGGCGCTCTGTGGCGAGGGTGCCAGGGCCCCGGTGAGCGCCCCTGGGCCTGACGGCAGGGACGGAGCCCAGCGCGGTGCCTCTGGACTCACCTTGGCTCTCTCCAGCTCCTCCCGCTCCATGGCTATCTGCTGGGCCATGACCTTCCTCTGCTCCTCCAGAGCACGCTGTGCCGACTCGGCCTTGGACTGCTCGGCGTGCACCCGCCAGCGCTCCTGCAGGCCCGGCAGGGTCAGGGCTGAGCGCGCTGGCCCCTGGAGGCTCCACCTGCTCCCCAGACAGGCCTGAGTGCTCCCCGGGGAGCTGGGCAAACCACCCTCATCTGGCTTTTCCCACACTATGCCACAAACACCTCCTTTCCTGAGCAGTAAAAATGGGAAGGAGCCTGGGGACTGGTTTGAGACAGGCACTGAGGAAAGTGCTGAAAGGGCTGAATAAACATAGTTCAGGATATAAAAACATCTGTGTCCATATACTGACAGGTCTATAGGGTATCTGTGATGTCATCAGTGGCTATCTTGGGCTACTGGATAATTTTTCTTTATTGTTGCCAGTTATTTTAATTTTTTCAATGAAACGAATCATCTTAGAACTTTGTACAAAAAAGAAAAGGTTATTACTATTTCTGAATTCATCAAATATTTACTGTATCAATTCTCTTAGGAATTGCTTTTTTGTTTGGTAGGGGTCAATGTGAGGTTTTTTTTTCCCACAAGTGCAGCCAATTGTTTTCACCACTTATTAGATTATGAAAGAAACCCTTCACCAATTTGCCTGTCCTTACACTGGGCCATGCTAATCATGTCTATGTCGTTCCAATTTTAGCACATGTGCTGCTGAAACAAGCATGAAAGGGCATGTTTTTTTTTTTTTGGTAGAAGATATAGACAAATTTATTTTTATTTAATTCTTCACATTGTATAATAAGGGCATGATTTTTTAAAGCACAAAGCCTGCTCTTATAGATGGAAGAGACAAAAGAAGTTTAAAGACAGCTCAGGAGACAAGCATTTCTCCCAAAGTCACATTGGCGATGGCATCAGTAATGAGTGGGTAGGTGCTGGACGGGGTGGGCTGGGGGCGCTTCTGGAGGCTGGGGAAGTGGGAGCTCCTGCAGAGGCAGGAAGGGGCAGGAGAGACAGGAAAAGCGCCGAGGAGGCCAGGGCAGAGTACAGCTGCCCAGTGCTGGGGAGACAGGCCCCACAGCAGGGGCAGGAGGACGGGCCCCACCTGCTCCAGCAGCCGGCTCTGCTCGCCCAGGCGTGCCTCCATCTTTCCCATGACCTCCTGGAGTCGGCTCCGCTCTTCCTCCATGTCCCGCTGCTGGCGGCTCAGCCTCTCCTGCAGCGCTGGGGGCGGCCCACAGGGTGCTCACTGCCCGCCCGCCTACCTTCCTGTCGGCGGAGACAGGATGGAGGAGCCCGGCGTCCCAAGTACCTTGGAGCTGCTTGTCCTGCTGCCGGATCCCCAGCTCCCGCTCCTGGGAGGTGCTGAGGTGTGAGGCCTCCACGCGGGAGGACAGCTCGTGCAGGCTGCTGGAGAACTTCTCCATCTGCTCGACGATGCTGTTCAGGGACCTGGGGGTGCGGCGTGCGGGGCTCGGGTCACGAAGTCTGGGGCCCCCCGCCCTGCCCACCCGCGGAGCAGAGCCTGATGGCGAGCCTACCGCGTGTGGGAGGTGGCGCTGGTCACGGCGTCGATCTCCCGGTCCTTCAGCTGCTTCAGCCGCTGCAGGTGCTCCTCGTGGTCCTTGCGCATCTCCAGGATGGAGGCCCTGGGGGGCGGGGGCGGGGCCGGTGAGAGGGCGGCGCAGTGAACATCCTGGGCAGCTCCGTCTGGGAGGGGGCTGCTCTGGGCAGTCCGTGCTCCGTGGCCTCTCCTCCCCGGCCCCAGGCACTGCCTCCGTTTCCCTGGCCCCTCTGCCTTTTTATCTGTCTTGGTGCCTCAATGCCACATCCTCTCTCTGGGGGCAGATTCCTTGTTATTCAGCCAAGGACACCTGACAGGGGGCCCAACAACCCTTTCATGTCTGGCCAATCTGAGCCATGGGGAAAGGCCAACTCAGCCCACCTTGGTTGACCCCTTCATGTGCCTTTTCTTTAGTTTCACTCTCCTCTGGAAAGGCAATCAGATCCACATGCCAGGCACAACCTTCTCCAGGGCTGATGTAGTCACTAGCCTCGAGTGGTCTGGCTGACGGGTTGGTTAACCTGTGCTTAATTAGCGCTTGGGTTGCTTGCTGCTGCCGGGCCCTGCCTGAATAGCCAGTGACCTCAGGCCCTGCCAGGATGCCCTCGATACTCTGAAGGAGTCGGGGGATCCCCACTAGAGGTGGAAGGGTACGTGAGATGGGTCAGTGAGGTTGGCCTCAGTTCTCAGTCTTCATTTGGAAGGGAAGGGGTCAAGCCTTTGTACAGAGGCTGCTGAGCCCACGGCTTGGGGTCTCAGGGCAATTGGCTTCCTCTGGCCACCCCTAAAGCCGGCCCCGGCCCCACTCACCGCTGCAGCTCCCGGAGCCGCTCCATCTCCTGGTCTTTCTCCTGCATGGCGGCCGCCAAGCGCCGCTGGTGCTGGGCCGCGAGCTCAGTGCGGGCCTGCTCGGCCTCCTGGCAGCGCGACAGATACTGGGCAGACAGCTCCTCGTTCTCTCTCCGCAGCCGCTCTTCCCGTTGCTGATACGATGTTTCTAGCACCTTGACTCGGCTCCTGCCAACAGCACACCCAATCGTGCGGCTCAGAAGGGGAGGGTGGCCACCCGGAGGGCCCCTCGGGGCACCCGGGCTGGGGCTGGCTGGGGGAGCAGGGTACCTGTGAGCATGCTCGATGAGCTCCAGGTCGGCCTGGTGCCGCTGCTGTAAACTCTCCAGCAGCAGCTTGTGCTGGGTCCGCTCCAGCTCCAGCTTCCGCACCTGGGCCGTGGCGTGGAGGGAGGGGGATGGTGTGGAGAGTCTCTCAGGCTGCCTGGGGAGGCCGTCCAGCCCTCACGGCACACCCTCCCACTAGCCCTGCCTGGAAGCCGCTGCCCCCCTGCCCCTCACCTGGGCCTCGAGCTCCGCCAGCCGGGCCTGACTCTGAAGGAGGGTGGCCTGGAGCTCGGCAGTGCCGCTCTGAAGCTGAGCCTGTGCCACCAGGAGCTGGTGCTGGTACTCGGGGCCGGGCAGCAGGCTCTGGGCCAGGGACTCCGGGAGCTTGGACTGGAGGAGAGGGGGAGGGACATGCCCCATTAGGTAGAGGACAGGAGCCCAGCTGAGCTCACCTCTGACCTGCCAGGCTCCATTCCTGGCCTGTGGCTGGAGACGGGGACAGGATCATGACACCCAGAGGTCAAGGATGAGGCCTGGAGGGTCATATGGTCCCTGTCCTTCCCCTCTCAGGTCAGGTTGGGGAAAATGAGTCTCCCCCACGCCCTCAGAACATCCTCCTCCCAGCAGGGCCTCCAGAGTCCCTGCAGAGTCCCAGCTACAACAGAAAGTGGTGACCCCGGCCCTGTTGTCAGGCCTGAAGTCCCAATGCAGAGCGATGCTCTGGGTCCTGCATGCTGCCCACCACCCACCCACCATCTCAGAGGCGCTCCGGGCTCCCGGGTAAGCGCTCCACAGGTGCTCCTGTGGGGCCAGGCCTCCTCGGGCCTGGGGGTCCCAGGTGCTATTGCACCTGGGCAATGTGGGCGGTGGGAGGAGCAGGGGAGGAGGTGTTCTAGGCAGAGCAGAGGCCAGCTGGGTCCTGCGCTCTGCGGGAAGCACTCAGCTGCCTCCACCTGGGGGCCACATCAGTTCTCCACTGGTGCCGGCAAGTGAACACCCAGCCCTACCCGGGAGAGGCAGGCGAGTGCTGGTGGGGAGACAGGGGAGCCGGCTGAGAGGACAACGCATTCCTCCTGGAGGTTTGGCAGGTGCTGCCTCTGAGCACAGGAGAACTGCCCCACGGGCCAGCCTGTTTGTTCCCCCTCCCTACCTGAACAGGCACAGAAGGCCCTGAGGGTTCCTGGGAATTCGGGAAAACAACTGTAGGCTCTGAAAAATCAACAGCACAGAAATGAGGAGGCGCAGGGACAGTCTAGGTGTGTGTTCGGGAGAGCCTGGCTTCACATCTGTCTGCAGGGACCCCCGAAGGAAGCTCTCAATGCCTCTCCTCCACCCAGAGTTAACCTCCCGAACAAAGCAGAACACACACCAGAGCCAGAGTGGTCTCCAAGGGCTCTTCCCCTCTTAGGGTCACCTGCATGGAGGGCCAAGGCGGCCTTGTTCCAAGTCATGGGGGACCTGTGGACATGGGGCGGGGGTTGCAAGGTGAGCAGCCTGCCATGAAGGATGCAGGGAGAAGGGGAGGGTTGGTCTGGCAGGAAAGGCGAAGGCCGGGGTCAAGTCATAGACTGGAAAGGCCTGAAGGCTGGTAGTTTATTAAGAGTGGGGTCCCAGCTGGAAAAGGGGACGGGGATCTGGCTTCAGGTTCCCTGACTTAGCGGGTCTCCTGTGTGGTCTCGGATCCCATACCCCACACTGACCATGTGGAGCCCAGCTGAGCTGCCTCTGTTCTAGGGACCGGGGCTCGGGCCGGCCCCCTGCGCCTCACCCGCCTGCAGCCGCGCCTCGGACTGGACATACCCAGGGGTGGCAGGCGGGGGCCATGGCCCCCATGTTGCTGTTCCTGGGGTCTCCCGGGCGGCGGCTGGCTCGAGCTCTTGGGTGCTGGCAGCAGGCTGACTGAGAAAGCAATTGTTAATATGAAGGCAGGAGAAGGGCCGGGTTAGGCTGGACAAGGGCGGGCTGGGACAAAGCCCAGAAGGGAAGCTGCATGGCCGCCCCTCTTCCCAGCCCCCTCCACCTTCCTCCTGTTCCCACCATCCCATCTTGAGAATTCTCCTCCCAGTCTGAGCCCCTGGCCTTCTGCTGCCCTCCCGGGGGCAACCACCTGGTAACATCTAAGGAAGCTGTGGACCATGCCACGCCCGCAGCGTCCACTGAGGCCCTGCTCACTTGCCCACCGGCTCCAGCACCCCGTGGTCCCTCTCGTCTCCGTCCGCTCTTCCCTGTCGTTCTCGGCTCTCGGGGCCAGTGAGGAAGCTTTCCCTTCCCTTCAGTTTCAGGTCTGGGTCCAAACCGCCCTCCCTGCTTACTCAACCCCAGGGCAGGGTGACATCCCCAGCCTGTCGCACAACTGCCCACCTCGCCTCCCCTCCGCTCTGGCTGCGGGGCTTCCTCTCGATGGTCCTGGCCCTGCCAGCCCCCTCTGGGGTGCTCCCTGTCCTTCCCACACATTCCACAGCTTCCCCCAGGAGCCCCCTGGCAGCCACTGTCTTCTCGAACACTCCCCAAGAGCAAGAGTGATCCCCCAAACGTGTCGCCTGCTTTAGCTTGGTCAGCAGAGCCACTGGACGCCGGGTATCCTGCCAGCCCGAGGGCGCTGGGGACAGCCCTGCTGGGAAGCACCAGGAAGGCTGTGGGAGCCCCACGAGGGCACCCGGGGTCTCCTGCCCAAGCAGGCCAGCGCCTGGCCCCGTGGCAGCAGGGCATGAGCGGCAGCAGCCCCCCAGCTCCTGAAGTGGGGGAGCCAGACGCTCTCCCCGCGCCCATAGCGGGAGAGAAGCACAGCCCAGACTGCACTCTGCCCGCAGTCAGCACACAGGGCACTGCTGACAGAGGCGCCGAGGCAGCAAGCCCTCCCTTTGGAGAGACAGCGGCCTAAGCCCTACCTGTGGGAAGGCGGCCGGCCGGCTGCCCCCGCCAAGTGCTGGCCCTCAGAGCCCGCGGCGCGCTCCTCTCTGGCCAGGCCTTGGGCCTTCTTCCGGGACAGGGCGTGGCTCAGCCAGTCCTGGCCTGCCGCCTCCTCGGATGCTCCTGGCTCCGCAGGCTGGCTGACTCTGGCAGGAGGGCCAGGACCGTCGGTGGGTGTTTTTGTCCCAGAGGAGGAGGGCGGCCCGGACGGGGCAGAGTGGCAGACGGGGGCGGAATGCTGGCTCCCAGGACGGGGGCGCCTCTGAGCCTTCCTGCCTGGGGAGGGGGGGAGCAGGTCCCAGCCGTCGTCCTTGAGGCCCAGCCAGTCAGCGCCTCCCCTCCTGGGCTGGGTGGGGCTGGAGGCTGTGGGGGTGCTCTGCCTGGAGCCCGCTTCTCCCTTGGGGTCTGTGCCACCATCTAAGAACCTACTTCAAGACAGAGAAGAGGGGAGTCTAAGGCAGGGCAAGCAGCCTGTCCCAAGAGCCCCTGACGGGCCTTTCCCTCCACTGCTCGGGGGGACTAGGGGGCCCACACTAAGGGGTCAGGATGCCTGGGGCCCTGTGCGGCCAGAGTCGTGGCAAGCCAAGTGAGGTCTGCAGAACGCCTTGATTCAGTCACGAAAACCAGAGACAAATCCATCTGCAGCGAACAGGACCAGCCACGGGCACACACACCCAGAGAAAAATCAGCCTGGTCAAGCACTTCCAGCCTTTCCATCACTCATTCATTCATTTGGCCATTGTCTCTTATGGCTCAGCTGGTAAAGAATCCACCTGCAATGTGGGAGACCTGGGTTCGATCCCTGGGTTGGGAAGATCCCCCGAAGAAGGAAAAGGCTACCCACTCCAGTATTCTGGCCTGGAGAATTCTGTGGACTGTATAGTCAATGGGGTCATAAAGAGTCGGATACAACTGAGCGACTTCTGCTTCACTCTATGAGTTACGGCAGGTGGCAGCAGGTTCTCGGGTTTAAGGGAACAGTTGATACACGTGTGTGCAAGGTTACTAAGAAGGAAAGAGGCTGAGAAAGCCGACGTGACATAACGTTAACACCATGGAGTCTGGAGAAAGGGTAGGAGGCAGTTCTCACAACTCTTCCATCAGTTTGAAATTATTTCCAAATATAAAATTTAAAATATACGCTCGGAGAAAAAAAAATCTCCAAATTCAGAAAAGTCCATCCACTAGCTTAACATTTTGTCGCCAGCTGGGATGAGACCACTGTTAGGACGGTCAAGGCGGAGCCCAGGGCCGGGTTTCTGGGAGCTGAGTCTGAGAAGCTGCTGCTCAAGGTTTACTCTTGCTCCCCCTGGGTCTGGGTGTTCCTCACAGAGAAGGAGGTCAGCTGACGTCACAGCAGTTTCCGGTTTCCTGGGCTTCCAGCTGAGTCAAGCCCACCTCTTCCTTACTCTTCCAAGGAGGCTGGGAGCAGAATCCAGGCTCCGCTCCTGCTCGGGGGCCATCCCGACCACTTGGCCTGGACTAGTGTGCACTGGCCACTCCCCTCCTTTGGGGTCCACAGAGTCTAGTGCCTCCCAAACAAGCCTGGTGGTGGGATGTGGCGAGGGGGGCCCCCTCATTCCCAGTGGGCAGCCTGCCTCTGCGCTTACCTGACAGACTGCCGGCGGGACTGCCGGCCCTCGGAGGAGCCCACGGTGGGCTGGTAGGCCCCAAAGGTGAAGTCGTCGTCACCCCAGGTGTCTTCTTTGTCTGTGAATGAAGAAACCTGTGATCTAGAGCAGGCGAGTCAACCTCTTCTGTGAATGCTGCAGAATGCTGGGTTTGAAAAGGGCTGAGCTAGCAGCTTGATGGCTAAGATGAGTAATGGGGACGCAGAGGCAGAGGCAGCCAGGTGAGGGGCTGGGCATCTGTCTACACCTCTAGTTCCAGCACACGGAACGTCACCGGGAGCTGTGAAAAGTGCACCTGAGGAACCCGGCCCCAGCCCCCGCGGGTGAGTGCGCATGTCCCAGCAAGGACTCCGAGCCAATGGGCCGCAGGCCGATGCTCTGAACAGAGCAACGCTGGCCAGGGCAGCGTCCTTCAAACTGTGAGCTGCTGCCTATCAGCAGGTTGAGAAACCAGTAAGTTACAACTGATATATTTAGTAGTCAAAGGGCTTAGTTGCTCAGTCATGTCCAACTCTTTGAGACCCCATGGACTGTAGCCTGCCAGGCTCTTCTGCCCGTGGGATTTTCCAGGCAAGAATACTGGAGTGGGATGCCATTTCCTACTTCAATTTATTAATCAAAGAGCATATAAATAAAAAAAAAACAGAGAATTGAACATGGTGATGATTATTTCCTGACACTTTTGACCCAGTTCATAAACACGAATAATATAATGTGTGTGTGTCATGATGTAAAGCTTATTTCTTATTATGGTTCCTGGTAAACATCTGTTCTTGGGTCCCTCCGCCCCCACCCCACAAGCCTCCTCACCCTGTGGCTGCTGGTACTTCTTGTCCAGCTTGAATTCCCTGTGCTCGCCAGTGCCTGGCCGGGCCAGGAGCTTGGAGGCAGGGCCCCGACCCAGCAGCTCATCCAGCTTGGAGCGAGCAGGGAGGGGCCCTTCCCTACAGGACGGAACATAGGGCAGGTACCTGTGACCATGAGGGGCTCCTGGGGGGGCCACACTGTACCTTCCCTCTCATTTTCCCTGGTGGCACTCTCCACGCCCAGGGACCCTTACTGGTTGCCCGCCTGCCTCCCCTCTGCCTTGGGGCTGTCTCCAAACCCCAGGGTGGCCATGATGTCGTCCCCATCGTCAAAGAGCAGCTCTTCTTTCTTTCGGACCGGAGTGTCCCCAGGAGTTAGAGGGACAGAGGGCCCTGAGAAACAGAACACAGGGCACAGTGCCCTCAGCCTTCTGGTCCTCCATTGTGCGGTTTGAATGGGCCGAGGGGGCGTTTCTCCACCTTTGAGTGGAACAGCAGCGGCAGCGGGCAGCGTCTGGTCCCACCCCGGCACCTGACTCCCCCAGCCCCACTCCCGGGTGCTCCCATCCCCTCTCCCCTCCCTCTTCCCAGAGACCGATGACCTCTTGGTCCAGGATCTGAGACCTCTGCTCCCTGCCTGGTGGGGTCTCTGGAGCTGCGTTGGAAAGGTCAGTGAGTCAACTGCAGTAGCCCCAGGAACGTAACAAGCCCACCCTACCGTGATCTCTGACCAGGGCTGGGTTCTTTTTGGAAGAGGTTTTCGTCTCCGTGGAGGGCAGTTTCTTGGGGATTCTTTCCTCATCATCAGAGAGAAGTCCTGCCAGGGGGTCTTCCGAATCTCACAGGCAGAAGGGGAAGCAAAGGGAAGACTGTATGTTGCGTTCAGGAAAACCAGCACTGTACTGCACTGGGGGAGTTATTGACCGGAGAGCTGTAGCTGCTCTGACACCTATGCAAGGCGCTTGGCATCTGAGGGCCTGGGGTGGCGGGGCTCCGATACAGGGCAGAGTGGGCCAGGGAAGAGGGAGCAGGGAGAGCGGCCCCAGGGCCCGCATTCCAGCGTGACTGCCCCAGGCTCTGCTGTCTGCACCAGCCTTCTAGGAACATCCCTGAGGCTGGAGAAGGGAAGTAAAATGTCCGGGAGTGCATGAAGGGCAAGGGACTTTCCCCCACGCTTTATAATCTTCAGTTTGATCCCTGGCTTCCAAGTCCATGCAAAAAAGTGCCCAGATATCCCAGCCAGGGGGGCACAATTAGTCCCTCCCTCAATTCGTGAGGAACAAAATCAACAGCACCAGCTGTCTGCTCCGCATCTGACAGAGTGACTAGCCCTGGGGCAAACGAGTATTGCCAGTGATCAAAACTGGTGTTCTAGAGGCATGACTGCAGGGCCTGCGGTACCTTCCAAGGAAAACTTCCTGTACTGATGCCCAAAGCTGGAGGGAGATGGAGGTAGGTCCTTGCTGGGAATGGCATCTCCTACAGGGAGCAAAGAGGAGCCAAGGTCACAGGACCGGGTTGCTTCTGGCCTACATGTCGCCACACCGTGACGGGGACCCCTGGGCTGCTGTGTACTTCCATCTGGCGGCTGAGGGTTTGTGGCCATGGACACAGCCATGGGAGAGGTCTCTACTGCCCTGGTTCTCAATCAGGCTTTTGGCCTGGAAATGAGGTCTGAAGTGACCTTCGGCCCTCTATTCACAAGTTGCTCCAAACAGGTACAGGGGTTGGGGCGATGCAAAAGTTACCATAAAATTCTCCAATTTAACTCAAATGGATTCTCCAGGAGTCTGAGGAAGTTGGGGCAGGAGGGGTGGGAAGCTCAACCCATCTCCCTCCTCAACCATAAACACTCCAACACACAGGTACACAGTGAGCTCCTGGTCTCCCCACTTCCAGGCAGAGAAAACCCACAGGGCACGAGGCCTTCTGGCTAAGCATCTCCCACACCCCCAGAGTGTCTCCTCAGTCGAGGAGCTATGTCCTACTCGCCTTTCTCATTGGCGGTTAACACACCGGCGGTTTTAAGAGGACTAGGCGGCTCTTCTTTCCCAGAGCCCTTTGCAGGCCTTTTGTTAGAGGCTAGATTTGACTTCTTCAGACCTAAGAGGTCAGCATCCATTTCATCCAGGTCCTGGAAAAGAAGGAAGGAGGGAGGAACCCCTACATGCTCAGCCAGCGGGTGCTAAATAACACCCGACTCTGAGCAGCCTGGTAAGGATGCTGCCCCCAACTTCCATGTGGAACACATGGGGACTTGGGTGACCCCAACAAGGTCACAGGACAAGGACAGAGGCAGGGCCGGGACCCAAAGGCTTCACACAGTCGGTCTCAGATAAGCTGAAAGATCTCTGGTTGGTAAGTTCCACGAGCCCTCATGAGCAGCTGCCGCATTGAGGTGAAAATGGGGGGGAGCTTCAAATCTGCTTTCAGCAGCTTCTCACAAAAGCTTAACAAATGCCGAAGCTGTTTGCAGTAGAAACGAAACAGCAGGGTCCTGGGGTTTAAGGCTCCCCAAGGTTGAGAATTCCCTGGTGATCCAGCGGTTCAGAATCTGCCTTCCACTGCAGGGAAGGGTATGGGTTTGATCCCTGGTCAGGGAACTAAGATCCCACATACTGTGAAGTGCAGCCAATGAATAAATAAATAAATAAATGAAAGAACAAGAGGGAGAATGAAGGCTTGGTGTCAAATAGCATCCCAGCCCATCTCCCCAAAGCTGTTTCCTTACCTTCATGGCCTGCAGCAGAGCCTGTGGGTCTGCATCAGAGACATCTGAAACCTACATGACAGGAGGGTCAGGAGAGACATGCTGGTCAAGGCCCCACAAACCTCAGGACCCTTATCGCCTGGCTTTTGTCAGGGGAGGAGCAGAGCAGCACGAGGGGAGGAGCATCATGTGGATGGTTCTGTCCTCACTTAGTGCTCAGGCGTTATATGAAGTCATACCTGGCCAGCTGTGGACACGCTGGGGAAAGCGCTGCCACTTTCGGGTCCTCCCAAAAGGAAGTCCACGGCCATCACAAAACAAATTAGGCTACTTTCCCTCCACGTGATCGGACAGCGTGGAGTTTACTACAGGAAGTGCCATTATAAGGGCAACCGCCGAGCCTCCAGCAGCTGCTAGGAGCTCTCCTTTCTAGATCATCTCACCGGGAGGAATGAAAAGGACTTGCTTTGAGTCTACCTGGCAGCGCTTGGGTACTGTTTTGAGAACAAACTGGCTTTGTGGGGACTTCTAAACCTTCTGTGGGCAGCCCCTAGGACACAACAGCCATCTCACTGCCTCTGGGGGTAAGCAGAGCCGGTGATGACGAGGGAATGGGCCAGGCTCACCTCGGCATCAGCTCCTGCCAGGTCTGCTCGGGTGATGAAGGCATCGTCTTCCAGGAGGGACCTGCAAAGGAGCAGAGTCTATAACCCGCACTCCCGCCCCCACAGTCCCCAGGGCATGAGATGATTCAAGGAAGGAGAAGGAGCTTAGAGGGGCTAAGTGAAACTAGACAGACTCTTCTCCAGAAGGACAGAATTGCGGAATGGAATCTCACAAGTCACTGAAAGTGATGATTTTTAAGTTTTTTAAAAACGTAGAATCCCTTTAAAAACAACAAGTAAGAGAGAAAATCAGAACTGCTTGGGCTAAAATGAAGGTGGAGAGTGGAGCACTCACAAAGAGCCTCTCTGTCTCACAACTGTGGAGAAAGTTCAGAAGAACAATCTGAGAGCCACCAATTTGAGAGTCAAGCATCTAGGTCAGCCCTCTTATTCCGAGGGTAAGAAAACAGAGGCTCAGAGAGCTTCAGGAACTGCCCAAGGTCACACAGTAAGCAGGACTAGAAGGCGGAGCCTTTGACCTCCAGTTCAGTTCCGTTCTCACTCCTCTAGGATCCTCCCCTGCCCCGCAGCTGAAGGGAGGACAGGAAGGTCGTGGCCCTACAAGCAGGACCCACTGTGAGTGGAAAGGGGGGGCAGGGCAAGAGCATTCGGCCTGAAATAGGGCTTGGATGCCTGGGCGGTCCCACGTGCTCACTTTGGTCGAAGCCCGGAGGGAGGGGGCGCCTGGGCTACACCTGGGGGGTCTCTGGCACGTGACATTAGTTTAACAGGCTTCTCAGGTGGTGTCGCTGAAAAAAAGAAAAGAAAAGATGTGATTCGGCCACGGAGAACTGGAGTCGAGATGGAAAGGACTGCAAGTTGCCCACCAAGCTGTCTCCCACATTTTCCTACTGAGAGAGGGGCCTTTTTGGAGGAAGGAAACTGACCCTCGAGGCAGGTCTCTTAAAAACCTGCATGGAGGAGGGCATCATACATTTCCAAGCGGGAAGTCAACCCAACTGGTGCCAAATCAAGAGGCTATTCCTGCCCCCGAACAGGAATGCAGAAACAACGCACTTCCATCATCCACGGGCTTGTGCTCCGTGCATGCTTCTGGGCCAAGGTGGGGGGAATCTCGGCCATATTGTGGCTGGTGAGCTTTGTTGACCCCAAAGCCCTGTTTTTCAGTGCAGCAGACAGGGATACACAGGGTAAGGGACTTGTGTCCAGAATACAGAAAGAAGTCTTACAAACCCAGCAATCAAAAGACAAATCACTCAGTTTGAAAACTCAGTAAAGATCTGAATAGACCTTTCTTCAAAGATATAAATGGCCAGGAAACACATGAAAAGATGTTCAAGTTCATTAGTCATCATTAGTCATTAGGAAAATGCCCATCAAAATCACAATGATATTTAACTTTACACCCACTAAGATTGCTATTTGCTGTCGTTGTTTAGTCACTAAGTTGTGTCCGATTCTTCTGTGACCTCATGGACTGTAGCCTGCCAGGCTCCTCTGTCCATGGGATTTCCCAGCAAGAATACTGGAGTGGGTTGCCATTTCCTTCTCCAAGATTGCTATAATGAAAAAGAAAATAACAATTACTGGCAAGAATGTGGAGAAATTGGAACTCTCTTACACTGCTGATGGGAATGTACAATGGTACAGTTCCTGTGGGAAACAGTTTGGCGGGTCTTCAAGAAGTTAAACATAGAGTTATCATATAATCCCATAATTCAACTCCTAAATTTACACCAGAAAGAACTGAACACATAAGCCCACACAAAAACTTGTACATGGTTGCTCATAACAGCATTATTCATAATAGCCTAGCTGAAATGTGGAAACCACCCAAACCTCCATCAACTGATGAATGGCCAAACAAAATGGGGCATATAGAACAACGGAATATTGTCCAGCCATGGAAAGGAATGAAGAGAGGAATGTTACAGTGCAGACAAACCTTGAAAACGTGGAAGGTGAAAAGAAGCCAGATGCAAAAGCCTCATATTGTATGATTCCATTTAATGTAAAATAAGGCAAATTTATAGAGAAAGAAAGTTAAGTAAGTGGCTGCCTAGGGGTGGAGGAGAGGAGAGTGAGGAGTAACTGCTGATGGTGTGGAGCTTCTTTATAGGGTGATGAGAATGTTCTAAATTCGGCTGTGGTGGTGGCTGCACAATTCTGTCAATATACTATATGTCACTGAATCGTACACTTTATAAAAGACTGAACTTCATGTGAATTATATCTCAGCTAATAAAAGAGAGAGAGGGCAAGCCTGAATCAGGGGGTTCTGGGGAAGGGGCACTTACTCTCATCTCCCAGGACGTCACCAAGGACATCATCGATGGAGTCTAGAACAGAAAAGGGCCACTGTGACTTCAGGAGGAAAGAAGGGTCCTTTAGGGCCTCATAATTGAGACCTCATCCAGGATACCCCACCTGGATACTTCTGGATACAGAGCCCAATAAAAAGGATTTTTCCCTGAGTCCCATCTGTTGTTTATTTCTGAATTACTCCTAGGGCCAGTGAGGCAGCATAGGGAGTTCCGTAAGAAAGCACAAGCTGCCTCTGGGATTACAGGGAAAACAGCAAGACTCACACCAAGGCACTTCCCTAGGGGCCCAGTGGCTAAGACTCCATGCTCCCAAGGGAGGGGGCCTGGATTCAGCCCCTGGTCAGGGAACTAGTGACTGCATGCTCAGTCGTGTCTGATTTTTGGCAACCCCATGGACTTTGTTGCCCACTAGGCTCCTCTGTCCATAGAATTTTCCACAGTACTAGATCCTACAACTAAAGATCCCAAGTACTGAAATTAAGACTTGGCACACACAAAAAAGAGATGTTCATTGAGAACATTCACTGAGAACATTCAGGCAGACACTTCTAAGTTATATGGACTCAAGGTGGGGGAATTATTTTTGGCTTATGGGTGATTTTTCATCCCCACTCACCTTTCAATCTTTTCTTGGTTTTTGGTGCCTAAAAAGGGAAAAACAACTTCCATGAACAAAATCAGACAGTGAATGTGTACTAAAACCCAGAATGCCAAATGAATTGTCTTGCCTTTTGCAAAGATGGGGACAAGGAGCACCAGTGGCATTTGGGGACAGATGCCCTTTATGGTTTTCTTAGAGTTTCTCAGAATAGACTCATTCAGAGCATGAAAAGGGCCACCCCCAACCAGCAGTGGATGGCGCAGTGGGTGCCACCTGGAGGGTGGAAGTCTCTTCTTTCCCCCAGATTTCCAGACGCCACACACAAGCCCTCCCAGGATGTAACATTTTCCTCTAATCCATGTCCCTGACTGTTCAGTATCAGTGACAGACACATAAAAATGCTTTCCAAATGGATATTCGGAGGCTCAGAAGAGATGCTTGCTTAGTGTTTAATAAGAAGTTGCTTTTTTTCTTTTATGACATGCTACACAGCTTGCTGGACCAGGGATCGAACCTATGCCCCCTGCATTGGGAAGCAGAGTCTTAACCACTGGACCGGCCAGAGAAGTCCAATTAATAAGTTTGATATCCATGCTCCTAATCATCATTCTTCTTTGGGGCCACCCAGTCCACAAAATACTTCATGCAGTCAAGCTCTTGGAGGTGGAGGCAGGGGGGAGGGTAGACTCCCATTTCCACACACCTGCTCTGATTCTGTGCTGTTGGAGAAGACTCTTGAGAGTCCCTTGGACCACAAGGAGATCCAACCAGTCCATCCTAAAGGAAATCAGTCCTGAATATTCATTGGAAGGACTGATGCTGAAGCTGAAACTCCAATACTTTGGCCACCTGATGTGAAGAACTGACTCATTAGAAAAGGCCCTGATGCTGGGAAAGAGTGAAGGCAGGAGGAGAAGGGGACGACAGAGGATGAGATGGTTGGATGGCATCACTGATTCGATGGAATTGAGTTTGAGTAGGCTCCGGGAGTTGGTGATGGACAGGGAAGCCTGGCGTGCTGCAGTCCATGGGGTCACAGAGCTGGACACGACTGAGCTACTGAACTGAACTGCTCTGCGTTCTGCTTACCATCTCCAGGCTCTGGGGGCTGCTTCTAGCTCCTTCACAGCGCTGTCCAGCTCACTGGAACTCTGCCTGTCAGGCTCATCCTTCCTAATGAAGAAAATTAAAGTGTCTGCTCACAAACGATTTGGCTTTAACAGTGCCTGAGTCAAAGATTTGATGAAGCCTTCTTTCACTTTATGAAAACCTATTTTCATCAGTTAAACATTCCTTATGGAGGGTGATTCATATGAGAGGCAAAGTGTTCTGGGTAACTTTTCGAGGCTTGGAGATTATTTGAAAAAAGTGAAGTGGTCCTCATTCCTTATTCTGAAAGAGGATACAGAAAATGGCAAGTCCCCATCTTAGGAAAGAGGTGGGGGTCTGGCACTGTGTTCAATACACCTTTCCAGGCAACACTCAGGACTACTTTCCCAGCAGCAATCAGCACACAGAACGGATGTGAGAGCCGGTAACTCCTTGAGAGTATTTTCACAATCGGTGGAAAATTTCCCCCTTTAACTGTAAATCCAGCTCGCTCCATTATTGGTGAACTGTTTTCCCCAGAATTATCATTCTTTCTCGCCCGCTCCTCAAAAAGTTACACAGACTGACCTTTGGCACAGCTTGGAAGAAAGTAATAGGAGGTGGGCAGCTCTAGTTGTCTGGCGCCGGCCTGTCTTGTTCCTAGAATGCAAAGTTCACGTGGGGTTACTGCCCAGGGGCCACTCTGAATGCCTGAGTTTCTCCTTCTCTGTAATGGCAGTGTTCACGACCTACAAGTCCCAACGTGTTTCGTCTCCTATCACATCTAGGAGCGTCTCCCACTTCCCAGTGATCCTGTCCCAGCCTCGCAGACCATGGGAATTTCTAAGGGAGGCTGCAAAGGCCTCAGGACCACAAGGACCATCGCATCGTTGTGCACAGCCAACTCCGTGCCAGGCGTTTTAAACGAAGGTTTAAACGTTTAAAATCCTTTAGCTAGGGCCCTCCCGGTGTCACCTCCTCGGTCCACGCGCCCAGCCCATCTCGATCCCGAGCGCAGCCTATGATCCTTCCAGCCCCTGAAATCCTCCCCACGCTACCCGCCCCCCGGTTACGTGCCATTTCCCTCAGAGACGCAGCCCCTGGGACGTGTCCCAGACATAGCTGCTGGTCCAGGATTCACTCCAGCCGGGTTCAGTCAGGCCTCCAGCTTCGGAGCGCTACGGACGCCAATCTCTCAGTCGCCCGGCCTCCGGAAGAAAGGCGAGGCGCGAAGCATCCTGGGGGTTGTAGTCCTAAACCTGCTCACCTACTAGAGCCAAGGGAGTACGGGGCGCTGGAATGAACCACATTTCCCAGGGTGCCCCTCCGCGGCCGTTAGTCGGCGCACCGCGGCCTCTTAGCCGCTGGGCGCGTTGCTAGGAGCTGCCTGAACGCCCCTTTGCTAAGCGGACGGTACCTGGGTTCCGAGGCCGGTGAGCTTCTTCCTCCCGGTTTTCTGCAGAACTACCACTACCTGGGCTCCAAAGTGAAAGTCGCTCAGTTGTGTCCGACTCTTTGTGACCCCATGGACTATACAGTCCATGGAATTCTCCAGGCCGGAATACTGGAGTGGATAGCCTTTCCCTTCTTGGGGGAATCTTCCCAAACCAGGGATCGAACCTCGGTCTCGCCGCATTGCGGGCGGATTCTTTACCAGCTGAGCCACAAGGAAAGCCCATGTAGGTTCCAAACCAAACATATAAAGTTCTTCCAGGAACTTCCCTGGTAGCCCAGTATTAAAACTCCGCACTTCCACTGCAGGGAGCACGGGTTCGATCCCTGGTCTAGGAAGTAAGATCCAACATGCTAGGAAAGTGGCTGTGACCTTCAGTTATGAAAACCAAAGCTGTGAAGCCAGGATGAAACCCAACACAATCACCTAATAAAGACAGTAATACTTTTTGTGTTGATTACAGAGTTTATTAAGGGTTTTTCAATTTTACAAAGGAAGATGGGGTTAGTGGTTTGGCTTATTCGAAGGTTGGTGGGTCACCACTGTCCAACCATGACTCAAGTCTTTCAACCTGTGCACCTCCTCCAGTACTCCCACCTTCACTGACATGTCCTGCCAGGCATGTGGAACAATACATACTAAATACACTTCATCAGGTAGGAACCAAACTCAAACCAGGACAGTTAAAGGGGTAAGAAAGTAGCAAATTACATGCACCAAAGTAATTTCCTTGAATTCATAGCAATTGGAAATGTTTACAAACAGTCACCAGTTGGAATATTATGCAGAGGATGGACAATCACGTTGTTACCTAATCTGTGAAACAGTTGACAGTAACGTGGTTAAACTGTTTTGCTTCAGAATTCTTAGTATCCCTCCCAATGTTCCATGATTTTCCTCAAGATAATCCACTTACATATAAGACAAAATAAAAATAAAAAATTCCCTGAAACCTAGGAATTTGCAGTTTGCAACGGCTAATATCTGATAACCCTAAAATTTCCTCATATGTTTCTATATTTACCATCATGGACCACAGGAATAATAATGAAAATTTGAGTTTTGAGAGCTATAAGCAAAACTCTACCAGTATTTTAAAATGAAAAGACATTTTATTCATTTACGGTGACTTGGTCTAATCCTCTAGGAATGGAATAATAAATATTCAACTAGCTGATCTCTGCATTTTTCCATGAAAACCTTTCAGTCAGGAGACTGGACTCTTGGCCTTAAGTAGAATCATCAGTTTCCTGGCAAGGCTCCTCTCCAGTTGGTGCAGCAGCTACTGCTTGAGGACAATCTATAACCCCAGGCATACCTTGCACAATACCATCTGCATCTAGTCTTTTTTTTAACTGAGATGGATAGAAAGAACTCAGAAAGGGGTAGGACTCTGAGCAGCAGTCATTAGAGGAATTTTTGTTCCCTAGAGAACTCAAGGATCATGAATCAATATTTCCCCAACCAAAGCTTGCACTGTAGAAAATCCAAGAATTGAGTTCTAATAACACGTTAAATGTTACGAATGTTAAATGCCTCCAGGTGTATATTATCTGAAATTACAACCAGTAAGTTCTCAGAAAGTATGTGAACATGGTTAATGTTGCAACTAAGTGAATGTTCTTGAAGATAAGCTGCTACTTAGTGGTATGATGTTCTGAAGACAAGAACAGGAAAGCCCGCAAAGGCTTTGGGACAAACTGTGCTTTGAGGTCACTTACGTCCAAACACTGAAATATACCTCAGTGTCTACTGAGTAGATATGAAGTAGAAATCCAAATACTTCAGGATGTAGCAAACTTCATCCATTACAAACAGCAAAAACCTCATGAATCTTCAAAGGGTTATGTCAGTATCATCTAATAGAAACATTAAAGTGAAAGTGAAGTCGCTCAGTCATGTCCGACTCTTTGCAACTCTGTGGACTGTAGCCTACCGGGCTCCTCCAACCATGGGATTCTCCAGCCAAGAATACTGGAGTGGATTGCCACTTCCTTTTCCAAATAGAAACATTAATTCTGCTCAGATTTATCATCATTTTGGAGGTTAGGTTGAAATTTGTCTGTTCTCTTTATGAAAATGGCTCACAAAAGAACCCAACAGAAACAATCTTATCTGTGGCAGTTTGGCTTCTAAGGGACAGCAAGTTGGGTCTGCTGCTGCTTTATGAGAAACCAACAAACCCATATTCCTGCATGGACAGAGCACCCAGATACTCTACAAAGACAGCATCATGGCAGGTTTAGGGCTATCTGCTCAGGCACTCACTCCTTCCTTCCTTCTTTTGTTTACTGTTACCTAAATCTACATCTTAAAATTCTTCATAATTTAAACTTATGTCTAATTTTATGTGGCACATTCTTTCCATCTTGATAGTGACAAATTCTTGAGGTCTTATTGTACCTTTATCCTTTAATTACAGTGACTAAAGTTCAAAATATTTCAATGTTAATAAAAATACTGCCAATATCAGATCTAGCTTTTAAATAAAACTCAAGGTGCTGGACTGAAGGTGGCTCTGGCAGAGTCCACCACCATGTTTCAAACTGCTTAGATCCCAGACCTATGCAGCTGGATTGTGTGGGTGTCATTTCAAAAACCCTCATGTCCTGGCCATGGGTTAGCCCTCTGTGAATAAGATTTTTAACCACTAACTGGAAACAATTCTATATTTAACAGGTTAATATTAAGCAATCTGAATTTACTGTTATTTCCCAAAATCAGATCTAGTCCCAAGAGATACCCATAAGAGATTTACAGTACTTTTTTACTTCAATGTTAACACAATTATCAATTAGTTCTCCTGTTGTAAAGATTAAGGCTTGTGTCAACAGGCAGTATTTCTTCTGCTGGACCTTAAAGTCTTCTATTACTAGTTTCACTGGGATAGATTTTTTTTTTTTTTTTCTTTTTTTTCTACGTCCTCTCCCTCTTCATTTTCCAAAAAGGAAATGAAGAACGATCATCAATGGCAAATGGCAGCTGCAGAAGCAACACCAAGAGCCGACTTCACGCTCAGGAGAGAATGCTATATCTCCTCCTCGTGGTTTCGGGTGCTCTACACGATCAGAGAAACTTCTCTAGTAACGAACTATAGAAATGATCCCTGAAAGTATAGTCTTACTGGGATAGATTTTATGTAAGGTCCCAAGAAGGGAATTACATACTACATTCTCAAGACTGACTCTAGAACAACTGGCTTCATGAGACAGAGATTACAAATATAGTTAACAAAAATAAAGTGATTTGTTTTACATTGATTTGAAGAAAAAATTCATCATGAGATACATGTTTAGCTCTTTTTTTTGGGGGGGTTGTCAAATGATCCTTTTTCTTTTTCCTTTGCAGTTCTTAACTAGCTGGGCACTCCACTGCACCACTGTTGATATCATCTATGATGTCATGAGGGTGACGGCCATCAACATTGCAGCCCACAGACTGGGCGGTCCCCAGGATCTCTTTAATGGTTCCAGAAAGTTCTCTAGCTAGAGACCGATGCCACATCTGCCGGGCAATGTTGACGATCTCATCAAAAGTGATGTTTCCACTGTGCTTAATGTTTTTCTGCTTCTTTCTGTCCCTTGGTGGTTCCTTGAGGGCTTTGATGATCAGGGCAGAAGCAGAAGGTACCACCTCAATCTGGGCTTGTCTGTTCTGAATGGTCAGTTTCACTGTAATCCTCAGACACTTCCAATCACCAGTTGCCTTGGCTATGTCATCACCGACCTTTTTTGGAGACAGGCCCAAGGGGCCGATCTTGGGGGCCAGGGCAGACATGGCACTGACTTCCCCACCAGTGCACCTCAGGTACACGACTTTGATCTCGTTGGGGTCGAACTTAGGCGGCATGGTGGAGGCGGCTGGTGTCGGATGAACCCGGATTCAGGACGACCGAAGAAAGTTGCACCTTCACCTCCTCCTAGCCGAAAGCACTCTTTTTTTTTTTTTTTCATGTTTAGCTTTTAAATATAGAACGATTGTATAAATTAGACTTCAGCTGAAAGGACAATTTAGCAAGTCAGATAAAGCTCCTAGAAACATACTGAAAATAAAACCAGATACACCCTAAGAAACATTCTATGGAGCTTCCATTTATCCTTTAGCCACTGTTTCAATGATTATATTTTCTGATTAAAAAATCAGAACACATGGTTTGTCAAAGGACTTTCCTGGGTATAAGAGGCAATGAGTGATGCTTTTATTTTTCTAAGGCCAGACACAGTAACCTCCAAGCATTTAATGGCTTCGGCCAGAGTGCCAGAATGTAGGAAATCTGGATTGTTCTAGAAAATGTAGTTACCATGGTCACCAAAGTTACAGTAACCATAACTGATAGCTCTCCACGCCCTTATTCTTCTAAGAAGGAACTGTGACTATTTTTCTCCTTTCTTTAGCATCTTTCGCAGGAGAGGGAGATCAAAACGACTGATCTGGAGATCTCATCAGTTGCCAAAAGTTATATGTAGAGATGACTTGACTGCCTCCCTCTTCCCAAGAAGTTGAGGCAAAGGGAGCTATAGTTCTACTAGAGGATCATTTAGGGAACCCTCCAACGGAAGCTTAATTCTGAATTACACAGGGCAGGGACCCTGCAGGAGCATGTGCTCAAGAAATCTTCAGGTTGGAAAGATGCTACTATGAAGACTTAAGACAGGAGCAATACATCAATAAAGGAGGGCAAGCAGGCAGGAAAGGTGTCAGTGCGTCAGGCATGAACTCACAGATTTCCTGATTAGTTTCTTTTCCCCAGTCTCTCTTCTTCACTCATGCTTTCTAGCCGGGGCCCCTGGCAGCTGTGTTAGGACATGAGCAAGGACGCTTGGAAGGGTTCTACCCTGCTTAAAAAAACACCTTTGTTTAAAAACACTTGTATATCCAATGATTAGCAATTAAGATGTGAAAATAATTAACTACTTAGTAGTTAAATTTTACTAATTATCAAAAGTCCTGGCCTCCTGGGATAGGCAGCAATATAGATGGAAGTTGCACTGCATTTCTTAAAGCTTTTTCTGAATGCTTAATAGTCTCTTTCAGTGTTAATTGCACTTGTAAAACACATCTGGTTTTTTCCTTTAATTTGCAAAATCTGTTCATTTTCTTTTTTCATTTATAAAAAGAGGAAAGGGTCAATTTATCACTTGCTCTACAGCCTTTCTGAATTTGATCAAGATTCCATGCAGATCTGTGTGGCAGGTGTAAGGAGAACAGCTGCTTTCAGGGGCAGACTGCACTTATCATCAAGCCATGTCAGAGCTTGGACTGCAGTGACTTCAGGTGCTTGTAAGATTCATGGACCTGCAGGGAAGGGAGGGAGAAAATATTACTGATAAGGAGCTTGCAATTTAAAATAGCTTTTTTTTTTTTTTCTGCACTGACTCCTGTGACTCAGAGGCTCTTGTTGTGGTGCAGGGGCTTCTTGAGTTGTGGCACGAGGGCTCTCTAGTCGCCCACAGCATGTGGGATCCCAGTCAGGGATCAAACACACGTTTCCTACATTGGAAGGTGGATTCTTAACCACTGGCCCACCAGGGAAGTCCCAAAATAATGTACTTTTAATTGAAAAATTATCTGAACCTTATTTGGATCCTGATTCAAAAAAATCAAAGGGGGTGGGGGAAGAATTGAGCTAACTGGGAAAAATCTGGACACTGACTGGCTAGTTCATGATTTAAAGAATTATTGTTAATTTGTTCAGGAGAGAGAATGGTACTGTGGTTATGCTTTTTTAAAAAAAAGAATCCTTATCTTTCAGAGATATACTGAATATTTATGAATAAAATTACCTGATATCTTGGATTTGATTCAAAATAATTCCCAGTTGGGAGGTTCAGATGAAATGCAACTGGTCATGAGCAGACAGTTGTTGAAACACGATCAAGGAAGGGTACAGAGAGATGCACTGCAATGTTCTATTTGTGTGTATGTTTGAAATTTTTCCATTGTTGTTAGTTAAGGAAACTAAAAACCCACATACTATAGGAAAGATCTTGTTCCCTTCAGAACCTTCCTCTCAAATAAAGGGACTGTCTGAAGTGGTCATGAGAGCTCGCAAAGCTTCCACAGGTGGTCATTCTCCAAGGGCTTTCCTGCCTTAATATTTAAATGAATAACTTCAAAAGGTGAAAGACACCTTTTTTTTTACCTCTGTTTTGTTCAGTGGAGATTTCTTGGCCCATTCAAACAAGTTTTCATACACATTCCCATCATAGCGGCCAAGCACAGAGCCCAGTGTCACATCCTGAAAATCAAATGCATCCACCAGAGCGACCGCGTCAGGGCGAATCTCAGTCAGCAGCTCCTTTATGCGCTCATTCACCTGGGTGATCTGAGACTCTGTCATGATGCTCCCCTAAAGGGAAGAAATGAGCAAGCAAGCACAGATGTTATAAGGTACGTATACAGATGGATGTTTATGAATATACAGACACACACATATGCACAACTACAAAGTAAACCAAAATTATTTTCTATAAAAAATTAAGAACTAAATAAATAAAGGGATTTAAACTTAGAAAATCCTGACCTGAAGAAAATCCCCTGCATTCTGACTGATTCCATACAAAGAATACAAGAGACACAAACGCCTTAGGACAGCTTGGATGGACTTCTCTTGAAGCTGGAGGACTTTTTCCGTAAAAAGCTTAACTGCCACATAGTGGCAATGTGCCTAGATATAAGGAAAACACCAGAATGTAAGAATCTCTGAAAAAGATTCAACAGTGATAAGGTTTCTGTACCAAGAAAATGAGGCAGGTGGTGAAGGATGGAGGGAAGAGGAGAACCATCACTGACCTCACTTGCCCGAACAAGGTCAATGGACGTTAGGTTCCACGCTACCTCCTTGCTTTTTCTGTGAATCACTTCAACCTGAAGGTTTTTAGCAGCAATCTCTACTAATCTGTTTAAAAAAAAAAAACCTGGAAAACTGGAGCCCAAGAAGGTGACGGTAAATACTCGTGCCTCCCACCTAGGCCCCGGGCCTGAGGCCCCTGCAGCGCCGGTCCCAGCTCTTGTGGGTGCACTCACCTGGCCGCTCGAAGCTTGTACGCCTCTGTCAGGCTGTTGGGGCTGTTGATGTCCACCACGGTTGGCCAGACGGCCACCTGCTGTGGCTGGATGCGCTGGCTGGGCAGGTCATTCAAGTAGGACACCATGCCACACACCAACTTGCCTGAGTGCACCTGGTCGTAACTTTTCATCAGGAACCTAGAAGTCACCAGGACACATGTTCTTAGTAACTGTGCTTCTCGTGAACGGAAATAAGATGAACTCCTGTAATGACTTCAAACTATGTGACAGGGTTTCGTACTAGTCTGAGCACAAGATAAACATCCTGGGTCGGGATGGAAGGCAAAATGATATCTTTCAGGAACAAACATAATGCAAAGAGAAAACATGGGAACAGGTATCAGTGGAAAGGACTTGGACATTCTTGAGAACATAGGATAGAAATCATGAATTAGATTCTTACCTGGCTGTCTGCAGCATCATGACAGTGTTTTCCCCCTCGAAGGTGCAGGTTGGGGTAAAATTGACGTAAATATTTGGAAGTCCACTGCTGTGAGAATAGCCATGTCCGCCACAAGCCATCCGACAGGCTTCAATAGCTGTGTTTGTTGTCCAGGACGTGAAGGCCTTCAGCCCAGCGGTGAGCGCGTGGAGCTGAAGGGGAAAGCACAGGCCATCAGGATGTCTGTGGTGTTGACAGCCTGCGTTCCAAATAGACACGCTGAACCTCACTTAACAGAAACTGTCACTTGCAGAATCATTTGCCAGGGAACTGCCTGGCATCCAGGGCTCTGTGCTGTCATTGCCAGGGGCCTGGTTTGATCCCTGATTAGGAAATTAAGATAATGCAAGCTGCCCGGTGTGGCCAAAAAAACTCAATAAACAAAAACCAAACAAAATCACTTGCCATGTATGTAAACTGAAAAATATCCTCATCTGGTTAGTCTAAACTAATAACTAAACTAATAATTAGTCTAAACTAGTAACATTACCACATTCCCTTCTGAACTGTTCTACGTGGCAAAAAAAGGCACCACTTAGGTTCTTTTGCTCAATAAAGGACCAACATAGTACAGAAATTCTGAAACTTAAAAACATGGATAAATCCATAAAAATATGGATTCTTTTCAAGGTATCCCAATGTTTAATTTTCTCTGCACACGATCCCACAGGAAGTATGAACAAGAAGGGTTCCCACAAGGGACAGAGACCAGACACAGACCTCAGGAAGCTCACTCAGGTCCCCATGGCCAATGTCTTCATTAATCCGATGATAGGTCTCTTTCATGTATGCGCCTATAAACTGGAAGGCATAGGCAGTGGCCAGGAGGGGAAAAAGTTTATATTGCTGGGTTTGATAATCCAAAATCTGCGGTTCTGGTTCACTAAAGTATATGAAAAAAGGAAAAACAAACAAACAAAAATAAATAAATAAATGCCTATACAGAGCTCACTACATGCCAGATTCTGAACTAAGCACTTTGATAGATTACTTTATCTAATCCTCACAAAGATCCTGTGAGGTAATTTTCATTAGCTCTATTTTACAGATGGGGAAAATGAGGTTAAGAACCTACCTGGGGGTCACAGATTCTTGATTTAAATCTAGGCTATTTGTGGCTACAGAAGACCACCCTCTGAACCACCTTGTTGAACACATGAACAGGATTTTCTAGTTGACATTCGGATTTTTCTTAATCTTTCCAGTCTTTCCAGTTTGACTATGAAAACAGTATTCTCATGGCAACATACAGAACCAAACTTTGTTAACTTCACAGGAGGAAGGCAATGTTGAAGGATGTAAGCTGGTAGAATAAACTATATTCTGACCACTAATATGAGAAGACCCAGCACACTAGGTTTAATATTTAAAGTCTAAGAAGGTCCACTGAGCATGCAAAAAAAAAGTCTGCTCTTACTAATTTCTTTATTCCTTCTTTAAGAGTAAAACGTTTATCAAAGAGTCATGCCCAATTAGTAGGCGGTAATAAGAACAAACTATGCCCAGGAACACAACAGGGAATCAAGTTTAATGTCACTTTCACCATATCCAATTTGTGATTGTTAGCAGCAATTAGAACCTTCACACCACACCTTCAGTGTTTTGAACACTTCACTTATAAAGCTCTAGTAATATTATCGTTTTTCTTAGAAGGTTAAGAAAAGGTTAGGTGCTTATTCTCATCTTTCCACTTAAGGAAGTTTAGTTCTAAGTAGCAGACCCAGTATACTGCCATCCTAGCTAATTTTATAACAAATGCACTTTCTCCACATCACATTTGGGAATTTTGATATCTGGATGGGGTTCATGCCAGACCTTTAGTACTGAGCTCATCTCAGACTTTACCCTTACCCTGGCTTGATTTCAGACTGATGCCTCACAGCACTGTATCGGATGGCAATGGTGCATGCCTTAGACAGACAGCGAGCGGATTCTCCCACGAGCATGGCCCTGATGAACACCATGGTCCCGTAGGTCAGCTTGTTACTCAGGGGTTTTACGTATGTGCCATCAGGCTTCACCTGGAAAAAGAACATGAGACGGATGCTTCCTTCTGTTAAACCCAAGTGGCAGTTTATTCTCAAAATGTGGTCCCCAGAAAGGCAGCATCAGCACCACCTGATGCTCAGTCCTTACCCTGACCTCCTAAATCAGAAACTCTGGGGGCTAAGTAATCTAGGTTTTAGCCAGCCTTCCAGGCGACTCTAATGTATGCTAAAGTGTGAGCCCCACTGGTTTAGCAAACCAAGACATGCTCTATGCTCTTCACACCTGTCAACTGATCTGAGTTCATGGTCACAACAAAAGTATCATCAGAAGTAAAAAAAATCTGTTATTACCTTCTAAACGAACAGACCATTCCAACTCTGTGATTATCAACGGCCACTGAAACCCCTATGTCTGACACATCTGCTCCTATTTTCCATCTCACTGTACCTGGGCATGTTTCATCAGCATGTTTTCTCTGGGAATACGATAGCTGTCCATCTTCAAGTAGCCATTATCCATCTCATCATAGCCAAATTTGGGGCCAATGTCTCCTACGGTAATACCTACCGCAGATGAAAGGAAAGTCACAAGGTGTTTTATGTTCTGGAATTCCTGGCTCCCCTCCTCTTCTTTAGTAATATATTAAACTTTTTGTAGAAGATAGTGACTGGTTTAATCTTCCATCTCAACATTAGATAACCCTAACCTGGCAAAGGCTTATGGGTCCCAAGTTCACGAATAGGCACAATGAAGGCATGCAGCCCGTAACACTTCCCCTGAGTGATGAGCTGGGCAAGTACGATAGCATGGTTTGAAGTTTTTCCAACTACAACATAAAAGAGAACAAGAGAGGAAAGTGAGCAAACGTTTTACATTTTCAAAAGACAAAAAGAAAAGAGAGAAAAACATATGCTAAATGTAAGACGAAGATTCCATCAATAGCAAAATTCGTTACATTTTGGCAAAGTAAGCCTTCATTTTAAAAATACACACACACGTGTGTGTGTGTGTGTGTGTGTGTGTGTGTGTGTGTATTGTTACTGGAACATAATTGACATATAACATTATCTAAGTTTAAAGTAGACAACATGTTAATTTGATAGCATTTTAAAGAAGAGAGTTTTACCTGTTCTACTTATTTTTCATTCATTTACATAAAGACATTTTTAGGATAATCATAGAACATTAAATTACTTCCTTTTTCTCCCTTAAGGCAGGGCTTTCCAAAACAGTAGCTACTAGCCACATGTGGCTATTTACATTTAAATTAATTATAATTAAATAAAATAGAAGATTCAGTCCCTCAGTCAGCTAGTTACATTTCCAGTGTTCAGGTGGTCAGTGGCTACCACGCTGAACAGCAAAGACAGAGAATATTCCACCAATGCAGAACACCCCATTGTACTATAGGATACAGCTGCTTTAAGAGACTTTGGCGCATCCAGAAATATTTCCCTTTTATTGCATGCTAGTTTTTTTCCTTATCAAAATGTAATACCACATATTAAAATATATAATGTGGATAACAAAATCCTTCATTTGAAATATATGTATCCTAAAATAATAACTCAGAATAGAAGACAATATGAAATAAATTTCATATCAAAGCTATTTGTAACAAAAGTTTAAAAACTAAAATACTTTTCTTTTTTAAAAAATACTCATTTCTATTTCTGTTTGATTATTTATTTGGCTGTGCCAAGTCTTAGTTGTGGCACACAAGATCTTTAGTTGAAGCATGAGGGATCTATTTGCCTGACCAGGGATTGAATCCAGGCCCCCTGCATTGGGAGGGTATAGTCTTAGCCACTGAACCACCATGGAAGTCCTTCAAATATTTTTCAATACATAAATGACTAACCAAACTGGGAATACTAAATTACTTTAAATGATGATTATGGAAGTTACGCTAACACATGGGAATGCTTAGATAAAAATGTATGAAAAGCAGCAAAATTGACAGCTGTCCTCTGCACTTTACAAGTGTATAAATATCTGTAATAGGTAACACAAGAGAATGTGAAAAGCTCAGCATAGTTTAAGCCATAAGAGTTTTTTCTATATTTCAAAATTATATTCTCATAGAAGCTCTACATTCTAAACACAATGTTATAATAAGTCTTCAAAACAACCAGTTACTGTTAAAAAAATTCACTTACGTCCACCAGGCCACCACTTGATGGAGGTCACAGTAGGACTGTTGAGAATGAACTCCTGGGTTTCAGGGTCGTAAGTGGCTGTGGTTTCCAAGCCTCGAAGATGGGTTCCTAAGGAAATGAATTATACCTACTTCAGATAGAATACGGGAAAAAACAGGCACAGGGTAAAATCTCCTGCCCAGTTCCTTTTAAAGTGCTAGCATCTCAGAGAGTGACAACTCTAACAATAAAACATCTGTAGATGAACTACAAATGGTTGATAACCAAGATCCTGAATTTCCGATGCTTAAATCAGGTAGTTCGCATTAAGCTGAAAATAAAAATGTCAAGCATGTTCCATTTCTATATTTGATTTACTGCATAGCAGTGGATAGGCAACATTTATTTACATCAACCAAAAGAAAATATAAAGACAGATAAGAATCACAGTTTCCCGAGATCACAGGCTATGACTTTAATAGGGAAGCTAACTGCCCTTGTAAAGGCATCTCTAAGTTGTCGGTGTGCCAATTTCAACTCGTTTGTGTTGTGTCTGCCACACCAATCCAACATTCTGGAATTTGGTACCATAACAAAGAATGAGATAACACATGACTCGGAGAGACTGCAGCTAAAGTTCTTGTAAACTGAAAATTTATTTCAGAATGAATGCTAGAAAGGAAAACAAGTTTTAAAACTTTAAAAGTTATAACCATTATGGGGAAAAGAAGAACTGAAATGGTGACTTTTTTAAAATTTCTAAAAGTCCAACAATAAGGTCCAAGTTCACCCTGCAGGCTTCCAACACTAGGCTTTTATTTATTCCTGACTGGTTCACCACTTTCATGTTTATTGGAGATGGATAGGATTTGTCTTTTAAATCCTAATAAAAAAGTGAAAGTCGCTCAGTCAGGTCCGACTCTGCGACCCCATGGACTGTATAGTCCATGGAATTCTCCAGGCCAGAACACTGGAGTGAGTAGCCTTTCCCTTCTCTAGGAGGGATCAAACCCAGGTCTCCCGCATTGCAGGCAAATTATTTACCAGCTGAGAGACAACGGACGCCCAAGAATACTGGAGTGGGTAGCCGATCCCTTCTCCAGTGGATCTTCCTGACCCAGGAATCAAACTGGGGTCTCCTCTATTGCAGGCAGATTCTTTACCAACTGAGCTATCAGGCAAGCCCTTAAATCCTAATACAAATGTGCCAAAATTCTTTGAAAAAAGTTACAGAAAAATGTTCTAAGTGACCCTCTCCCTATCCTGAAGTCAATGATGAGAACTTCTTACCCGATTGCTTTGATAATGCCAGATTTCATTCACCACTTAAAATTAATTGTAAAACATTCAGAAACTTCCATGTTGAATAACAGAAATGGCCATTTTATGGGTGATCAACAACTTTCCCCTGGGTGGGAATCAAGGAATCAGACAGTGAGACTCCTTTCACCAAAGAAGAAATTTTTATAGAACAGGTAATGACAGAAGCTTGTTTTCAAATGCACAACTGAACCAAATAGTATTTCACTTTGTGTCTTAGGAAAATCCTGTAAAATACTCTTTAGCATCAAAGCTGAAAGTCAAATGAACAATCAAATTAAGATGAAGCTGTTATAGGAATAAGGAACAAAGAGCAAATATACACTAGACCAGCTGTTCTGAAACCTCTGAGTAGGCAAACAGAAGCCAGAAGTAAATGAATGGATACCATTCTAACACAAATAGCAATATAGAATGAGTGCTACCAGGAATAGCCACCAGCTTGAGCCCCATCCAGTTCACAGAGAAAGGTAGGTCAGGGATGGAAAGAAAAAAAGGTGGTACATACAGAATGTGAAATCAATTACCTGGAAGTACAGCCTATCTTATTTTTACTAAACTTTGGCCAAAGCCACCTTTAGAAGTTTACTGAATGTAGTGAATCAACACAAATAATGTCAAGGTAAAAAATGCTGCATGTTTTGGTTATATAAGCGACTCACTTCCCTTTAGCACACAAGCTATTAACATGTATTTCTTCTGGAATATGTGTAAGTTCATTAAGGTATCAGTACCAAAGGGAATCATAGTAATGAAGAAAAAGAGATGGGTTCAGACTCTCTATACAAATTCTGTACAAATGCAGTGAACCTGCAAAACCACTTAGTAAGTAAGACCTAACTCTTAATTCTTGATCTGCTGAAGGGGAACCATGAATAAGTAATCAGTATATCTGTGATAACATAAGCTTTAATTTCTGCTGACCAAGGCACTGTCTATGCCAAGACTTACACATGTGAAAACCTGGAGCACTGCAGAAAGACTGCATTTAAACAGATCTCACACAGCATGTGGAGACACCACCACTGGCACGTGATGGATGCTCCGTGTGCGCTAGGCTTGCAGAGCCCCACCCAACCCAGAAGGTAGACTGAATGCTCCATACCATGACCCATCTCTGTTTGGGCATAAGTGCCAATGATCTCCAAGTTCCAGGCAGGCATGAAGAAGCGCTCCTGCTGTTCCTCGGTTGCCTGGTGCAGCAAGGTGGGCAGGAACATGCCCAAGTGAAGATCCAGAGGCCCAGGCTGCCCTCGGTGCACAAAGCTTCAAAGAAATACCAAGGATGGGTATTTGAGAGTCATCAGGTGTGAGAGAATCAGCAATGTGAACAAACAGCAAGGGAAGGAGAAAAAAAAATACCTTCTGTTAAGTATGAATTAGTTGAGTAGACTTCATCATGGATGGGAGCACTGCCCCTTTCTGTATTACATTATAACTCTTGGTTACTTCCATTTTTCTTAAATTGGTGAGAAGTATTTTTTAATGTGATGCATTTCTAAAATAACTAATCTTGGCAGAGATTGGAAACTGACTCCAAAGCCTGTGCAGCCAAGACCATGTGACCAAGGCAAAGGATTACAGCCTTGCAATTAAGGTAAATAAAAATTCTGAAGAGGCTTGATGGAATGGAGAATTGAAATTGTACAATGACATATATTCTAATGAAAAGTTGAGACAGGAGAACACAGAAGTTCTCTTGGAAAAAATTTTTCCAGGATCTAATAATAATGTTTCTGGGTTGGAAATCTTTTCTGTTTGTCTATAAAACATCCAGCACTAATCCACATTCTTCACATAATTTTGGTCATTTCATTCGGATTCATTAAAATATCCAGCCACATGCTATTGAAACAATTTAATACAAAAACTGACGGTGCTCTTCACCCCAATAATTAATTTCAGAAATAAAGACATGCCATTTTTAGTGAAGATCATGATATTCACAAACAACAGATTCATGCATAACAAGTGCTCCATTACAGTCATATGGGAATTATCAAAATTATAATAAACATGTTAACTGTCATTTAAAATCCAATTTCTAAAGTCATTCTTTTCCATTTAAAATTTGCAAGTGCCCTAGACTTTTATATGAATTTATTTCTAATAGGAAATACTATTATACAGCTTTTTAATGTTGCATGCTACTGGCATTTTATCTAAATTCCAGCTCTAAATTAATCAATTCTATGTTGCTCTTATTATGTTCTTTATCTTAGAAATGAGCCTAAACATTTCAGTTTCAAAACTTCTCTGTTCCACTTGAGGAGGAAAATAATCAGGGGGAGGGTGCTCTAGGTGAGGGCTGGTCTGTGATGTCTTCTCACAAGGGCTGGGGTGAGCTGAGCTTTCAGCTAACCAATCACATGAAAATTAAAAAAAATGCACGAATAACTTCCTCATTTTACAAAGAAATTAAAGCTGAGATGAATTAAGTGTTTTCAGATCAGAAAGATAATGGCAGGACTTCCCTGGTGGTCCAGTGGATAGGACTCCATGCTTCCAATGAGAGTAAGGGGACAGGTTCATTCCAAGTTGGGAAACTAAAAATTCCACAGGCCTCAAAGCACAGCGAAAAAAAAAAAGATCATGGCAAAATAAGGACAAGAATCTCATAGTCTAATCATATCTTCTAGTGTAATCTGGGCTGAGGATGACGGTGGGGACATTAGAAAGACCTGCCAAACCAGTTAAGATCTGGAAGCATCAAACTGGAAATCCTATAAGATACTACCACTGGTGGCAACTGAGTGAAAGGTCCATGAGATGTCTCTGGGCTATTTTTGCAACTTCCTATGACTCTATTTCACTTTCATGCATTGGAGAAGGAAATGGCAACCCACTCCAGTGTTCTTGCCTGGAGAATCCCAGGAACGGCAGAGCCTGGTGGGCTGCCATCTAAGGGGTCAGGCATGACTGAAGCGACTTAGTAGCAGCGGCAGCATGAATCTATAGTCATTTCAAAATAAAAATTTTTTTTTTAATTGTGGAAAATCCTTAGAAAAACAACATTCCTGGGATGAGACAGTACCTTTCACTCACAAACAGAAATGTCAACTGTCCTGTTTTTAAAGGAATGGTGTGCAGGAAGAAAAATTAAACATGTGCCTAGAAGCTATAAGAAGAGAACTCTGAACTATGGCCAAAGGTTGTGGCCTGAAGCTAACCACTCTCAGTGCTGAGAGCCTGCTTTTCCATGACTAGAAACCAGAGCAATTCCTGGTGAAGGAGAGGTGGCTCTGAGGCACCCCTCAGCCTCATCATGGGCAGGTGCGTATCAGGGAGTGATGACCAACACCAAGACTAGAACCAGAGCAATTCCTGGTGAAGGAGAGGTGGCTCTGAGGCACCCCTCAGCCTCATCATGGGCAGGTGCGTATCAGGGAGTCACTGAGGAGGGCGGGGGACTACCATCACAGGCTCTTCTGAAGCGGAAGCCGTTTCCAGGAGTAAAACGCCTCCTGTAATTAGGGTAAGGATTATTCACAAGTGGAGGAAATGTAGAAACGTTACAAGGACAAAGTTACCTGGATAGTTTTTTATTTAAATCAAGTATTGATATTTGCTGTAAACTTTATGCATGATAAAGATCATAAATTATTTTAAATTAATTTACTTTATAATTGCAAAGCACCAACATTTTACTTGGTAAGGAGCTGTAGTCAATTCTTTCAAAAGGATTAACACCAAAAGGCTTTCCCGTATCTCCTACATTACACAGGGCTGGGAAAGCTGGCCAGTAGTGAGGACAAATGACTAGATTAATAACATATGAGAAAGGAAGAAATCAAAATAGCAACTCAATGCACAGCATGGTTATAATCCTAGGAAATCAACAACAAAACACCAATACAATCAATCATAAATTAATTTAGAAAAGGTATAGGCTAAAAAAAAAATCATTCATTTTTATCCATTAGAACCATTCAAATAGAAATCCCATTAAAGAGAAAGGTGATTTATAACAGCAACAAAATATTTTTAAATTTTAAATAAGTTAGCTCAGAATATTAAAGATTTAATTATGAAAACACATAAATACCCAGTAGAATGAATGAAAGATCCGATCCAAGTAACAGAAAAGAAATCACTAATTCTTAGCTCAGAGTACGAAGGAAAATTAATACTTCCCAAGGAAATACTGGGATTTAATGTTACACAGGTTTTAAATTCCTATAGAATATATTCTATAACTTGATAAAATGAGATCAGAATTCATCAAAAAGAGTAAGTGTGCAAGAACACCAAGTACATATATCTTGATACATAAGCTATAACAATAGTAGGCTTATCCTATCAGATTTTTTTTTCTATCAGTTTTTTAAATATCTTTAAAACAACAATGAGCCAAAGCTTATAATGTTAGAGAAAACAGAAACAAATTAATGTAATATATTTAAGGTTCCATAAATAAATTGAAACTATTACAAAACTCTAAGATAAACTAGAAAGAACGTAATAAAGTGAAAGAGCTATTAGTTAATAAACATGAATACTGTATGTGAGACTGATCACTGTATCATACACAAGTAAAAACATTAAACACAAATTCAACAAACAAAAAAGGGAATAAAATGGAAGCTAATTACCCAAGATATGAGAAGAAAACTTATACCTAGTCAGAGACGGATGCACTGAGGCCAAAATATTTAATAAAACAGAACCTACAGAAACAATATCATTTTCTAAGATCAACATGCAGATTCAGAAAATGCCAGTTCATACATATGAAATGCAGAGAGTAATATCCAAGCTCATTAGCATTGGTAAATGAAAACTTTAATTCTTAGATAGATATAAAAGTAGCAAAAAACCAAAGTCACCATGTTGATGGGACAAAGGAGACACGAGTACACTAAATATATCAAAACCTATTCCATGTCTTATGCAACAAAATCTATAAAGTGCTCATTCTCTTCAAATGTAGCCATTCATCTCTGAGAAAGATATTCCAAAGGCATAACCCAAAGAACACAGCTTTTGTAAAGATGTTTATATTGTTATTACTAACAGTGGGGAAATTAGAATATCCAGAGAGCGAGTCTCATGGGAAGGCCAACAGGGAAGGGAATCACTCTGGGAAAAAAGAGGATGGGAGGCTATTGGAGAGACAGAGCAGTGAGATCCAGGAGGGGAAGATTAGGGACTTACAAGATCAAGTGCATGACCTATTTTTCAAGCTTCAAAGGTAGAGTATTTTCACAGTTTAGTATTAGAGATGGGAATCTGCAAAGATACTGCAGCAAACTCAAGGATGATAAGCATGTACTACAGAAGCTTTATTTTCCTTAATAATTATAACAATAACAGAAAAGGCAAGAAGAATCCCTATGAAGTGGCCAGAATTTGAAATGATCAACTAACCATGATGACCAAAACACTATCTGCTTTGTGACCTGGAGAGACATATGGTCAGGAGATAATTAACCCTAGACCATGTCCCAGACAGTCTCTTTAACAATGGAGCCCCAGGGATAGGGTGCCCTCCTCGGTCTAGGCCAGATCCACAGACCCAGTATGTGTTGGGCTTGTGTGCCTGTACAGACAGGAGTGTGTTTAAAGGAAGGAAGAGAGAACACTGGTGAGCTAGATTTTCTGCAGGTGGTTGAATTTTAAGATTCTTGAGGATCCTGGTATATGATTGAGTACTTTTAAGCTTCTTCACTTCTCAGAGGCTTCCTAGAGGCGAAAGAATCCCAAACTGGAATGTTACAGCTACAGTAAGAACGCGAGATAATCACTGTTGACCAATGTTTCAAAGTCTCGGAATTTAAGTAGTCAAATCATCATCCTGTACAAGTTGCTCTATTTCCAATCCCACTGATGCTGAAGTACTTTTTATATATTCTCGATAAGATTATACTTTCATGGGATGTTAATCAGCCAACAGACTGGCTTTTTAGGAAAAGAACAGCACTCAGCGAAGCACAACTAATATGAACTGACAAAGTTCCAAGAAACAAGACCTAATTTTAAAACTCTGTTCTCTAACAAACCATAGAGATTAAGACAACGTTGGTTTCAAACAAAAGAAAACATTCAGAAACTAGAAGGAAGAAGGGAAAGAAACCTAATAAATACAATCTTGCCCAGAGCAACAGAGGACCTTAATCCAACCCCCGGGGCTCCTCAAACCAATGAAGTTTTAAGTCTTCAATTCTTCTTCTCTTCCTTCAAATATACATGGGAAATATACCTCATAGAGGCAGAAGGATAAGACAGACCAACAAGAGATACACAGATCAGACTCATTTAGTTTCACAGTAGTTTACATCTAATGTCTCTGGCAAACAGTATGCCTCTTAAAGTCAAATAAATTCAATGACGAATTTGAAAACAAACAAACAAAAAAGGATTCTGTACCATAAAGCTAGTTCAAGATTACGAAACACCCACACACACTCCAAGAGAGGAACACTGTAGGAATGTGATCTTTCTACCCTTAGGACATCTTCCCTCAGGTCTGTCATCTCAGTGCTGACATCCTGGAGTGCCTGGCAGGGTGTTCATAATACTGCCCCATGACCAGGATCTGCAGTGCCCATAGGCATTATGAGAAAGGACATTTACTTAAACCAATTCACAAGCCAAAAACACCAAATCAAACACAAAAGAGGAATGTCCCTGATATCTGCATCCTTTCTTCCTTCCTTTCTTTGCTTTATTTACATGAGGGAAACATTTTGATAATTAGGAACGACATTGGGCAGCTCAAATTCAAGACCCTTAAGCCCATCAGTGGCCTTGTCTATGAAAACAAACTTGTTTCACAAGACCAAACACAAAAACTTTTCAAGAATTCCTGGTAATTCAAAGTCCATGGGCAGGTACAGAAAAATGAATAAAAAGAAATGAAATGAAGAGCATCATGGACTTTTTTCCAAACCCCCTAGCAGCCTTCACCACTTTAACCCTCTGCCTCATTAAAATCCACATTTTTAACTTCATTAAAGCAAAGCATCTTCCACATGTTGCTGAGGCATGAAGCCTCTTAAGAACTTCCAACTAAGTCTTTAAATAAGACACCCACACAATGGAGCACTTGGCCATATTTTCAACCCCACCTTTCCAAACTGCTCAACACCCATTTTAACTGGGTGTACACAGCAACGGTAAAAAATAACAATGATAGGTCTTTCAGGCCAGCATCTTGGACCAGTTTATGGGGAAATAAACTATGAGGAAACAGGTTGAACTTTAAGATTTATCAATTTAATAATAAAATTCCAGCAGGGAAAAAAAAAAGTCAAATGCCCGGAGTAATTTGTTAGCTGAAGACCTGACTGGGCTACCCACTGACCCTCAAATGTGGACTAACCGTGACCCATTTCCGTCTGGGTGTAGGTGCCAATTATCTCGAGTCCTTTGGATGAATGCAGCCATTTCTCTTGCTGAGCAGTGGTGCCCTGATTCAGCAAGGTAGGAATAAACATGGAGTAATTGAGGCCCACAGGTTCCACAAAATTGACCAAATGTAGTCTACAGGAGAGAAAAGAAAAGGTTCTCAGCCTTATTCTAGAAACTGCATTCTACCACCATTCTTGCCAGACACGTTTGGCCTGGAGGATGAAGGTTAGACAAACTTAACCCCTTTCTTACGAAATTAAGACTCATATTTATCATATGCTACCTAAAAAGCCAACAGCAGAATCTAGTGGTATCTCTTCTCCCCCTAGTCACTTCAGGGCCAGGATTCTGAATTTCACACTTAATCCAGGAAGCAAATTCTACCCATGTTTTAGCCTCAGACCTCTTTTATTATTTTATTGGTGTTATTTGTTGGTTTGATTTCTTGGAACATAAGTATGCGTTTTTGCTTTATTTTTAGGCTTTACTTGTCTTGAAAATCAAAAGAAACTCCACAGAACACTTACATTTGCTGAGCTGTTAACAAAATGTCCTAAAGAAGAATAATTTAAACTATTTTTCCATAGTAACCAAAGCAAATGTCCAGGATAGCATGTATACATTCTGGGGCCAAAGCACAAATCTATAAAGGTCTTCAGAGCTTACAGACGGGTAAAGCAGGTAATGTGTGAATATGTTAAAAATCACAAAGGGTCTCTGAAAATTAGTCCAGATTAAGAGAATTCGAATTTTAATGAAATTCAGTCTTTAATGATTTTCCCCTAAAAGAATCTGTGAAGTAGTCAATACAAGTCATATACACTAGTCAGCCTCGGCCATGCCAGGTTAGAGATTTTATAGGGGTCTATTCTGTCAGCTCTATCTATATAAACAGCTTAAGGCACAAAGTAAGCATCATCTAACTGACCCTCATGATGGTTTCAAGGGATGGCAGAAAGCAGTGTCACCACCACCCTGTCCTGGCCTGTAGAGCAAGCAGAGCATAAATTCAAGAGAATGAGGGGGTAGGCTGCCAACTCACTTTTGGGGAGGCCCTAAAATCATACCACCACCTTTTAAGGGTGCTGAGGACAAATTCAAACATTCAAGGAGTGCCTGGACTAGCCAACATCAAAAATGCTTTTTAACCCTGAGTTCTCTGATTTTCACACAAATACTAAATGTTAATTTAGACTGCAAAGAGAGAAAGAGGGCAAAGGAGGCGGAGGAACAGAAGAGGTGGGTGAGTTTCTAGGTAACTCTCACAGCAGCTGTTCTAGAGAGAGAAGTAAGATGCTTTGCAAAAAACATACCCATCTCACTAAGGTGGGATAATGTGGAGGTAAATGTAAAAACTAGCCTTTCAAAGGCAAGGGCACCATAGCACTCCCTAATAGCCATGCTTTATTGAAGGAGGAAATCAACCTGCAAGAATTTCTGAGAAATAAAAGCAGTAATTTAGTTGCTAAAAACAGTAGCAATATAGACACTGGCCATTCCCTTATTGGAAATGAGGAGGCTCTGGGTTGGTAAAGTGCTGATGTTGATACAAAATAATTAATTCTAGAAAACTGAGAGGGAAAAAATATGTGACACAAAATAAAGACTGTCAAATAGTTATGTTTTTGACATACTGAGATTTTTTTTTGAGGCCTCTTGAAGTTAACTAAAGAACAACATCTGAGCACTTGTTTTAAGTTATGTTTAATACTCCCTGAAGACGCTTTTCAAGGAACTAGCTTTAAAAACCTAAGAAGGATTTTTAAAAAAAATGACTGGTTCGCATTAGAATTTTGCTACTTTAAAAATACTTTAGTTTTTACATAGCCAACAGTATAGTAAAAAGACAAAATTACAGAAAAGGAGATCAGGAAAGGAATTTGTATATACCCCAAACAGCAAAGTCTTACTTTCTCAAGGAATGGAGAGAATTCTTCTTCTACTGCTTAAGTTGAGAAATCTCAAAGTACTTTACTAATATTTTACTCAGTTTCAAAATATTCTCATGTTTCATTTTGTGATAGGGAAACTGGATATAAAAGAGACCAGTAAATGCCCCAAAAGCCTAGAAAGAGAAATATTACTATAATTCATTAATTATAGCATCCCTCTCCCCAAAGCCAATTTTAGCGTTTAAGACATCCAATGTATATGACAATTACTGGTACATCACAGTTAAGTTTGTTAGTGATACATAAAACACAAGTGTGAGTAACAATCGATGGTGTTCAGTAATTGCTAAGACTAATGAAACATTCTCTAACAAACATTGATCTTCCTGTCACATCCCCAGAAATACTGAAAGGATGTCACAGGGCCTGCCAAAGGTTGTATTTTGTCTTTTTCCCAAATAGTGAGGCCTGAGTCACAAAATATAATACAGAAAAAAAAAAAAAGGCAAAAAAACTGGCTGGTGTCCCCTGATCTTTAACTCACACAAAGGACTGTGTTCTATGTCACTGTGACTTCACTGGAGTCTAGTTACACATTACACATCACCACAGATTATGAAGTCTAACTAACTCTGAAACACACGGCAGCAGCCATTTAAAAGTAAAACAAAACAAACCTCTTGTTTTAAGGAAAAATCAAATTTTACTAATTTTATAAGTTCACAAACTCAATTCAGGTAAATCAGAAAACGTAATTTTCTAGGAGTTACTCCACCTCAATATCCTCACAGCCACAAGTTACAAACTTTAAAAAATAAAAAAAAGAGCACTTGGATGTTAGTAAGTACTCTGACTGGGCTACCAAATTAACTCTGTTTTTATAACTAAAATGGAAAGAAGTTCTGAGTGTGGTCTGGAGTAAATTTCCTCTTGACAATAATAACCAGGTAAAACTCAAAAACAGATACCATGTAGTATCAGTTGGCAGTTGTGTAAGGGAGGAATGCCTATTGCAACATAAAAACAAGAGCCTGTACATGTTTCATTGTTTCATTTTTCTTGGCTCTTAAATATGTACCATCCAAATCATTTACTCTCTATTGATGACAATATTGGAGTTCTGCAAAAATGTAGAGACCTAAAACAGGAAATGCCCAATAATAAATGAGAAGAGATGCTGCAAGTCAAAGGAATCATACTAACATTATGCAATTATAGTGTATATTTACATAAAGGCAAAAAAAAAAAGTGTGTCTTATTTCTAACTAAAAACACAACAAAAAGATGGTCTGAAAAAAGAACATACTCTTTTCAGCAGTAGGACCATTTTTATGAGGTCTCATTTACACAGGAGGGCCATTTAAATACCCTCACCAGATTCAACAAAGCTGGGGGTTCTCAGAATACTTCATATCCATTCTGAGGTTTGACTAAAGTTCTTCCTCATCCATCCATATTTTCCATTATTTTAAACTCAAGAGCTACATTACTATATGAAAATACAATCTGTTACTGCTCCAAAATATTTAATGTTCGGTCTTTGCAACGGAAAACATCCTTCTAAATTTAGCAGGCCTCCTTCTTAGAAGAAGCAAAGTCATTCTACATTTAAATCGCTCAAAATTGAGAGGTCTGGACCGTCAGTGTATGATTCTTGAGAAAGAAAATTACAGCATCTCTACGACAAGCTTTCTACAAACAGCCCTTTAAAAGGCTTAAATATCAAAGTAAACATTACTGTCCACACATAGAACTTTAAAATGGCATGAAAAGATGTGAATTTGAGTCTTCAAACGCCAAACACTATGAAAAAGGATACCACAGATGGCGAATTCAAGGTTCAGGCTTAGGCCCTCGCTCTTAAGCTAAAGCATACCTACTTTTTAAACCACAACACTTCATCAGCATCTGAGATGCCAAACTTCCTCATCTTCTCCACCATGGTGGCACTCTTCTTAACAGCCACCTCGTAACGCTGGCTACGGCTGAGGAAATTCAAGTTCTCATGCTGGAAGTCTGGGTCTTTCAGAATGAGGTTCTCTGAAAGGGAATTAAAGGGTACCAAGAGGAAGACAAGTAATTCACGGCTCCGTTAAAGCTCTCTGGATAACAGCAGGTTTCAGACTCACGGGCAGAGGTCCTCTCTCGCGATGGGCGATTCCCCCCGCCACAGCCTCCCATGGAAGTGCGGGGGTCCCGTGGCTCCCCTAAAGCTGGGCCAGAGGCTGTGGCCTAGGCCCTGCAGGGCCCCACACCCCCGACTCCTCCCGGAGGGAACCGCCAGCTCTGCTCGGGAAAGGAGGGGAGGAGGCCTGCCCGCTGCCCTCACCGATCTCTCGGCGACGCCGAGTGTTCTCGGGGCTGCCGTCCAGGACATTCGTGAGCAGCTCCGGGTTGAAGCTGGCGCCGGCCCGCTCTTTCTGCAGGTCTTGATTCATGGTGACGGCCGGCTGAGGCAGCGGGGGGCCGAGGCGGCGGCTGAGACAGCGTCGGTGGCAGCGACGACAGCGGGAGTCCGCAGCTCCGGCGCGGGGCCGGCACTAAGAGCAGCCCCAGTACAAGGCGAGTCCCCGCCCCCCCGGCCGCCCCGGCCCGCCCCGGCCCGCCCCTTCTCCTTCACCGCGGCCCCAAGGCGCGTGACCGACAGCGGACGGGGCGTAAGGCGGTGGCTGTGCCGCTGTGGGCGCCGCCGGGGCGGGCGACTCCCCTGTTCTCGGCCAGTGGCGCCTCAGATCAGCCCTCTGACAAGCGGACCCCGGAAGAAGGTCAAGGAATTGCCCAGGTGGTGGTGGTGGGGGTGGGGGGAACCGAGACGCTCTCAGCAACCCACCCGTCACTCGTCAGGCGGTCCCACTGGGCGGAAAGAGGCGGCCCGTGGCCGCCCGCGCGCCCACACAGCTTCGCCTGGGGGTTGGGAAGGGGCGGGACCACGCAGCTGAGGAGGACCGCGCCTGCGCCCCTAGACCCGCCCGAGTCGCCGCTTCCGGGTCGGTGCGCCAAGTCCTCCTGGGGACGTGAGAGGGTGAGGGGGGTTCCAGGGCTGCAGCGGGTGAGCTGCGGCTCTTTGAATTGGCTCGGGCAGGTCGTAGGGTTTTCCCAACACCCTCCAAGAGTGGAGGCAAAAGGTCGCGCTGACGAGAGGCTCCAACCATCACTTGTTAAGATAATAGCATCTCTGCTGCCAGAGGCGAAGGCTGCGGGGGAGCCGTGAGATAGCTAGCGCTCCCCCGACCCCGCGTTTTTATGAGCCTGGGTGGGGGCTTCAGTTCAGTCGTTCAGTCCTGTCCGACTCCTTCCGACCCCATGGACTGCAGCACTCTAGCATTCCCTGTCCATCACCAACTCCCAGAGCTTGCTCGGCCTCGTGTCCATTGAGTCGGTGATTCCATCCAACCATCTCATTCTCTGCTCTCCCCTTCTCCTCCCGCCTTCAATCTTTCCCAGCATCAGGGTACTTTCCACTGAGTTGCCTCTTCGCATCAGGTGGCCAAAGTATTGAAGCTTCAGCATTAGTCCTTCCAATGAATATTCAGGATTGATTTCCTTTATTGATATTCAGGTTGGTTTGATCTCCTTGCAGTCCAAGGGGTTCTCAAGAGTCTTCTCCAACACCACAGTTCAAAAGCATCAATTCTTGGGTGCTCAGGCTTCTTTATGGTCCACCTCTCACATCCGTACATGACTACTGAGTGTGGACTTGGACAAATTGTCAGTGTGCTTGTGTGTGCTCAGTTGGGTCTGACTCAGCAACACCACGGACTGCAGACCTGCACGTTCCTCTGTCCGAGGGATTTTTCAGGCAAGAATACTGGAGCGGGTTGCCATTTCCTCCTCCAGGGGATCTTTCCCACCCAGGGATCCAATCCCCCATCTCCTGCCGAGCCTACCTTGGCAGTTGGATTCTTTAACCACTGAGTCACTTGGGAAGCACCAAGTGTGCTTAGAGGTCTTGGAATCCACTTTCATTTTCACAATCCTCCTCATCAAAGTAGTAAAAAGCACACATTAAAAAATGTTAGAATAGGAGGATTTTTAATGAGAAGCAGAACTTCCTCATCCTCAGAGGCAGCCACTTTTAATCATAATAAATTGTGTTTTTAGTTTTGATTCCTAAATATTGAAGTAAAATACTTAGTATTTCTTGATTTGCTCAGTTTAGTTATCTTTTGACCTTATGCCATGGTAATGAAGATACGGCACACTACCCATCTCCTTTATCTCTCACTTAACCTTTGTAACTTTAAACAACATACTAATTCCGCCCCCCCCCCTTTTTCCTAATCATTTTTAAAGCTATCTAGTTAATAATCTGTTTCTTATTGCATCAGTTTTTAATAACAGTGCTGAGAATAAGGTAAAGTGAGTGAGGCATTCACTTCAGACACAGTAAAGGGGAACACTAAAAAACTAATCAAAGTTGCTGTGCTGTGCTAAGTCACTCAAGTCATGTCCCACTCCTTGTGACCCTATGGACTGTATGTAGCCCGCCAGGCTCCTCTGTTCTTGGGATTCTCCAGGCAAGAGTACTGGAGTGGGTTGTCATTTCCTACTCTATAGTCAGTTCAGTTCAGTCACTCAGTTGTATCCACCTCTTTGCGACCCCATGAACCGCAGCACGCCAGTCCTCCCTGTCCATCGCCAACACCTGGAGTCCGCCCAAACCCATGTCCATTGAGTTGGTGAGGCCATCCAACCATTTCTTCCTCTGTCATCCCTTTCTCCTCCTGCCCTCAATCTTTCCCAGTATCAGGTCTTTTCAAATGAATCAGCTCTTTGCATAAGGTGGCCAAAGTATTGGAGTTTCAGCTTCAACATCAGTCCTTCCAATGAACACCCAGGACCGATCTCCTTCAGGATGGACTGGTTGGATCTCCTTGCAGTCCAAGGGACTCTCAAGAGTCTTCTCCAACATCACAGTTCAAAAGCATCAATTCTTTAAGATGAGTCTCTTAGTTCAGGGTTTTGATTAAGACTTGGTACAAACCACTGCACAACAGTCAAAATTAGCAGAAAGGGCAAGGCAGGGGAACTCAAAAAATCTCAGTGAACAAGCTAGGTGTTGTTATTCAAACTCTGTTTCTGGACTGGACAGTTGGGAATAGTAAAAGATGCTAACGAAGACTCAACACCAAGAAGTTAAGTTAATGTGGGCAGTAAGATGTAGTCTGGATTCTCTGTGAATGGCCTGATTGTGTGGGGGGGTGGTAAATGGTTTTGGGTTTCACTCTCTTCTTCATGAATATATCCATGCATCTGATAAATATTTAATAATTTTCCAGACACTGTCAGGCACAGAGGCTATACTGGGGAGTATGCCAAGTCATGGCCCTCATGGAACTGATTAGCTAGTGGGAGACATCAACATTAATCAAGTAAACAGATCTTGTTATTTGAAATTCTATTATTTAGTGGACTGCACTGAGGATGGAGTGACTAGGGGTGGAGAGAATGCCATTTTAGATGAGGTGGACAGGGCCGGTCTTGCCAAGGAGATAGACAGCCTGAGAGCTGAGGAGAGAGATCCAGCCACGTGAAAGTCTGGGGAAGCCTGTTCAAGTCTGTGACAAAGCAAATGTGTTCTGAGGTGAAGGTGAGCTGGAGGAAGGGTGATGGCAAAACAGGCACAGACTCCACGTGGCACTATGGGCCAATGGAGACTTATAATTTTAACAGTTATAATAAGAAGTGGTTAAGGGACTTCCAAAATCACTGAGGGGGGTGACTGCAGCCATGAAATTAAAAGACACATGCTCCTTGGAAGGAATGCTATGACAAACCTAGACAGCATAATAAAAAGCAAAGACCTCACTTTGCCGACAAAGGACCATATAGTTAAAGCTGTGGTTTTTCCAGTCATGTACAGATGTGAGAGTTGGACCATGAAGAAGGATGAGCACCAAAGATCTGATGCTTTCAAACTGTGCTGGCAAAGACTCTTGAGAGTCCCTTGGACAGCAAGGAGATCAAATCAGTCAGTCCTAAACAAAATCAACCCTGAATATTCGTTGGAAGGACTTTTGCTGAAGCTGAAGCTCCAATACTTTGGCCACCTGATGCAAAGAGCCAACTTACTGGGAAAGCCCCTATGCTGGAAAAGATTGAAGGCAAAGGAGAAGGAGATGGCAGAGGATGAGATGGTTAGATAGCATCACCAACTCAATGGACTTGAATTTGAGCAAACTCCAGGAGATCATGGAAGATAGAGGCGCCTGGTGTGCTACAGTCCATGAGATCGCAAAGATTTGGACACAGCTTAGCCACTGAACAACAAGGGACTTCCCAGATGGTCCAGTGACTAAGAGTCCAAGTTCCCCATGCAGGGAGGCTGTGTTGGGTCACTGGTCAGGGAACTAGATCCACAAGCAATGGCAAAGATCCTGTGTGGCAACTAAGACCCAGAGCAGCCAAAAAAAAGAAATAAATACATAAATAGATACTAAAAAAAAAAAAAAAAAAGAATGACTCCTGGGCTTGAGCAAATGGAAGACAATGGGGCTCTAAGAGATAGAGAGGGTGGCTGGTAGGTGGTATTAAAGCTGTAGGACTTGGTTCTGATTGAAACATGATCCTCTTTTGTCTATTTCTTCTCCCTGTCAAGGACCCACGTAAATGGAAGAAGTGAACAGGAGAATGGCAGTTATCAAATTAAGGACACAGTGTTGATACAGTACTATTCCAAACCTTTCTGTGGACTTACGATTGTCCAATGATGTCCTTTGTCACAATTTTTTCCTCCCAGTCAAGGTCCATGGATCATGAGTTATATTTAGCTGTATTAGTTTGCTAGAACTACCATAACAAAGCGCCACAGACAAAGTGGCTTAAGCAACAGGGATTTGTTGTGTCAGAATTCTGGAAGCCAGAAGTGTACAGTCAGGGTGTCAGCAGGGTGGTTCCTTCTGAGGCTGTGAGTGAGAACCTGCTTCATGCCTCTCGGCTTCTGATAGCTTGCTGGCAGTTGTTGGTGTTCCTTGGCTTGTGTAGTATCTCTGCCTGCATCTTCGCCTGGCTTCCTCCCTTTGTGCATGCCCGTCCCTGTTCAGACTTTTCCCGTTTTAGAAAGATACTTGTCATACTGGATGAGGCCCTCAGGGATGACCTCATTTTAACGTGGTTACCTCTGAAGATTCTCTATAGAAGATCGCATTCTGAGGTCCTGGGGGTTATGACTTCAACTTTACTTTTTCGGGGGGGGGGGTGCAGGAATGCCACCTGAAACAGTTGTCCTGTCACTTTTGTTGTTGTTGAAGTTGTGTCCGACTCTTTGCGACCCCGTGGACTGCAGCATGCCAAACTCCCCTGTCCTTCACTGTCTCCTGGAGTTTGCTCAAATTCATGTCCACTGGGTTGGTGATGCAATCTCACATCACTTGAGTCTCTTTTAACTAGAGCGATTTTTTTCTCTTCCATGATTTTGACACTTTCTTTGCAGAATGTCTCTCAATTCAGACTTGCCTGATATTTCTTCATGATTAGATTCAGATTATGTTCCTTCACTGTCTCCTGGAGTTTGCTCAAATTCATGTCCACTGGGTTGGTGATGCAATCTCACATCACTTGAGTCTCTTTTAACTAGAGCGATTTCTTTCTCTTCCATGATTTTGACACTTTCTTTGCAGAATGTCTCTCAATTCAGACTTGCCTGATATTTCTTCATGATTAGATTCAGATTATGCATTTTCTACAGGAATATCACAGAAGCAATGTGTCCTCTGAGCGTCACATCCAGGAGGCACATGAAGGTTGTATTTGTTCATTTTCTTCACTATGAACTAGACTGTTTTCCCCTTTGTAATTATTAAGTAGTCTGTGGGGGAGATACTTGTTGAGACCATATAAATATCTCGTTCTTTTTCTTTTAAAAAAATTTTATTTGGCCGCACCAGATCATAGTTGCATTGTGCAGGATCTTCAACCTTTGTTGCGGTTTGCAGGCTGTTTAGTTAAGGCGTGCAAACTCTTAGTTGCAGCATGTGGCACCTAGTTCCCTGACCAGGAATTAAACTGGCGCCCCCAGCATTGGGAGCATGGAGTCTTAGCCACTGGACCACCAGGGAAGTCCCTAAATAACCTGTTCTTTAGACTTTTACCCAATAACTTTTCACATCCATTGATGATTCTTCCCTGAATTTACTTTTACTCTGGTGATTGCAAAACTTTTAATGGCATAAATAGTCATTTTATTTGGTCACTGTAAAATTAATTTAGTTGAGATCACACTTAAATTGGAAGTAATCCCCATGTGATAGAATCTTTTGAGGCCATAGGTCAAATCATGTGACATAACTTGAGTTTTAGCATTGGCCATTCATTGTGTGATATAAAACTAACAAAGAATTGTAACTTTAAACATGAATGAATATCTTCTGGGTTGGTGAACACAGGGATGGGCAAGTGACAAGAAAGGGCATAGAAGCGCCACACCCCACCCCACCTCCTCTGTTCTATGCATCTCTTCTTTTTGGTTGTTCCTTAGTTATATCCTTGCCCTTTTGTGGTAAACCAGTAACCTGTTCTAATTGTGGACCGGTAAACATGTATAATAAAGTTTCTTGTCCTCCAGAAACAAGTCCTAAGCCGACAAAAGCTATGATGAACTTAGTTATAAGTGTTACTTCTCAATCTTCAATTCCACTGCAGAAACCTGGGCAGTTCCTTCAGAAAAGATGAAAGAAACAGTCAGATTGGGTCATCACTCTTCCTATACAGTATTTTCAAACTTCCCAGTCGTTTAAAGGAATATTTTTCATACCATGGATTTTTCTCCTAGAAGTGGATATTTTACCTTAAGGAATAAAAAGGCTTGAAGTACAGGTTGTACCATTATTCAGATTTCTAGAGAGATTATTTGAAATCCAGTTGAGTCACGAGAGAAGCCTGTTCTGATATATCTTCACAGAAACGTTCTTGAGTGTGCGATAATACATGGATAATGATTTATGGAGCCAGCTGTGCTTATTAAGTCAACAGAAATATCTAAATAAACACATAGCAACTTTTGTTTGAAGAAAAAAATTGAGGTTAAAATTTACAAAAGAGGGCTTCCCTGATGGTACAGTGGATAAGAATCTGCCTGCCAATGCATGGGACACAGGTTTGACCCCTTGTCTGGGAAGATTCTGCCTAAGGAGGAGCAGCTAAGCCCAGGAGCCACAAGTACTGAGTCTGTGTGCTGCAACTAATGAAGCCCGCATACCTGGAGTCTATGCTCCGCAATAAGAGAAGCCACTGCAATGAGATGCCCATGCACCACAACGAAGAGTAGCTCCCACGGGCTACAGCTAGGGACAGCAACAAAGACCCAATGCAACCAAAATAAATAAATAAATAAAATTGTAACTTTAAAAAAATTTACAAAGGATTTTCCTCCCCACCCTCAAAGAGTCAGTGCTTCTGCGTGGTAATTTTAAAATAAAAATTAATGACCTAGTTACTTATAATTTATCTTATACATGGTACTTGAGAGTGGAAGAATTACTTTAAAAAAGATTCTCAAGTTGCAGCATTTGCTCTTTTGGATGGGATTGTCTCCATTATCAACAACAGCAACCACTATATTTTTTTCCTTCTCTTGACTGTTTTGGGGGTTTGGTTCTGTTCTTTGCTTCTCTCTCAGGCCAGAGACGATTAGGGAGCTGTCTCTGGTAGCTAGATAGCTCTCTCAAAGGTCGCAGCTATGAAGGATGTCTGTGTTTGGAGGAACCCCTGAGTAAGTTGCTTCTCCACTACATTGGCCAAACTCCTTCTTGGCACACGACACTGACATGACCATGGAACGTGGGTCAACAACCATCCCCCATGACCTTTGCTAGAGAATATTGCAAACACTTGTGCAAGATTCTAGGTTACCTTAAACTTTGGGAATAGAGCTGTGTCATCTGATTTTCAGAAGGATCTTGAAATCATGTAATTACCATTTTCTTGGTTCAGATCTCCACTTGCTTGTCCAATCCAGAAACAGTTGAAGGCCAACATTTTCAGGATGCCTTTAGTTAGTCCTAAATCCCCGTTTATCTAACATTTTGAAAAAAATGAAAATCATTCAAAAATAAAAAGTTTATTTTATTTTTTATTATTATTATCTTTACTTGCGCAAATACTTACATCTGTGTTTTATGTTAGACCCGTTGTGTCCCGTCTTAACAGACTGTAACAGATGACTGGCCTTCAATGCAAGAGGCTTACAGAAGAAACTTTAAATTTAGAAATGTTAGCTGTGCCAGAATTCCAAACTGCTTCACAGAGTATTTAGAAATAGGTCTTAAGAGTAACTCTTCCAATTGTTTCTGGGCACTGTAGCTGTACTCTGTATGCACCTATTAGCAGCTTAACCTTAGCAGGAGGTGCTTCCGTCCGCCTTATGAATATTTTATTGAGGCCTGCCACAGGGCTGAACGAGTAAACAAAATGACTGTCCAGAAAAGCAGGAAGTTGAAATTTATCATTTAAAACAACAGCCTGTACACTACATGGTCCACAGAGGCGAGCAATGACCTCTTTACCTAGGAAGTTTGCATGGAAGATAAACAGCAGGATGCCAGAGCCTTCTGGTATAGTCTCTGGGGTGTCTGACTCTTTGCGACTCCATGGACTGTAGCCTACCAGGCTCCGCCATCCATGGGATTTTCCAGGCAATAGTACTGGAGTGGGTTGCCATTTCCTTCTCCAAAAAGTTTGTTTTAAAAATGTGAAGACACCTTTTATGTACAACTATGAAAGTGTCAAAATATATGAAGTGAAAAGAAATCAAGAACAGCATGTATACTATAGTATAGATGGAAAATAAAGATATACTCATCTTTGTCTTTATTTGCGTAATAAAAAGATAAACATTTTATGCAAACAGGTTCACCTTGGCAGGGATTGGCAAACATCAGCATGGGCCAAGCCAACTTATTGCATGTTTTTGTAAATAAAGTTGGAAGGAAATAAAGTACACTCATTCATTATGTATTGGCTATGAGAGTTTTCATACTAGGATGACAAAGGTCAGTAATATGACAGAAGTCATATTACTATCTGCCTTTTATGGACCCTTTTAGGGGCTTGAGGAGGGAAATGGTTGCATAGGAATTAGAGTGGGAATAATACACTTTCTGGATTCCCAAGTGGCTCAGTGGTAAAGAATCTTCCTGCCAATGCAGGAGACAGATTCTATCTATCCCTGGGTCAGGAAGATCCCTTGGAGAAGGAAGTGGCAACTCACTCCAGTATGCTTACCGGGGAAACCTCATGGACAGAGGAGCCTGGCTGGCTATAGTCAGTGGGGTGGCAAAAGAGTCATACTCAGTGACTAAACAACAACAAATAACACTTTCCACATAGATCTATCAGAAAATCTTTTTAAATTTTAAAACACCTCCCCCTGGAACTAGCTTTTCAGATGTTGCTGGTCTCACATCTGTTAATCTCCATCTCGTGATTGGCTTGGTTTGTCATTATCTTCAAAAATCCATGTCAACTATTTGGTTACAGGAGCAATAATGCTGCCCAAACCTGGGATCTATTTCTTCCCCTGGGAGGTCAGTGCTGGCCAAGTTCCTGATGGGAACACACTGAGGACATTTGGCAGGTGGGAATGTTTTTCTTCACGTGGTACGGGGGGGAGTGTTTAAAAAAAAATTGAGTCTTTTAATTTATTTTAAAAATTATTTTTAAATTATGTTTTTAATTATTTTAAATGATTTATTTTTATTTTAAACTTACTATATTTTCAAAATTGTTTTAAAAAACCAAAGTCTTACAATTTTATCTAATCATTTAAAAAATATTTAAAAAATCAATGTATATTCATTGTAAAAAATGTTGATAATCTGTAAATGTGTAAAGAAAGCCAGCAAAAATCACCAACCATTAACCTTTTCTTGAATATATGCTTTTTCATGTGTGTTTATATGTATACATGGGTGTGTATACACACAATATGTGTATAAACATATATACTGTGTTAGTATACATATTCCAGTGCAGTGTTAGTGACTCACTCATGTCTGACTCTTTGTGACCCAATGGACTGTAGCCCACCAGGCTCCTATGTCCATGGAATTCTCCAGGCAAGAATACTAGTCTGGTTAGCTATTCCCTTCTCCAAGGCATCTTCCCAACCCAGGAATTGAACCCCGGTCTCCTGCATTGCAGGCAGATTCTTTACCTTCTGAGCCACCAGGGAAGCCCCTAGTCACATATTGCTGGGTAACAAATCACCCCAAAATTTAGTGGCTTCAAATGACCACAAAAGTTTATTTTTTTCATATGTACCATGGGTCAGGAATTAGGAAATGGCTTTGCTGGGTGCTTCTGGCTCAGATTGGCTTTGAAGATTGTAATTGAGATGTTGGCCAGGGCTGCCAGCATCTGAAGGCTGGTGTGCAGCTAGAGGATCTGATTCTACAGGGACTTACTCACATGTTGGGCAGTTTTATGCTGCCTCTCGTCACACAGGCTCACTTTCTCAAAATATGGATTTCAGTATATGGCTGCTTGAAGGTCTTCATAATCTGGCAGCTGACTTTCTCCAGAAGGAGTGACTCAACAGAGCCAGCAAAGATAAAGCCACAGTGTCAATGACCTCATCTCAGAAATCACTCTAGATCATCTCTGCAATGTTTCGTTGGTTACATAAGTCAGCTCTAGGGATTTCCTTGGTGGTCCAGTGGTTAAAACTCTGAGCTCCTGATGCAGGGGGCCCAGGTTCAATCCCTGGTCAGGGAGCTAGATCCCATATGCAGCAACTAAGACACAGTGCAGCCAAAAAAGAAAAAATAAGTCAGCACTAGTTTGGGTGATAGGAGATAACACAGGGATGTGCATGCCAGGATATAAGAATTACTGGAGGGATTTCCCTGGTGATACAGTGGCTAAGAATCCACTTTTCAGTGCAGGCACCCAGGTTTGATCCCTGGCCGGGGAACTAAGGTCTCACATGTTGCAGGGCAACTAAGCCTGAGAACCACAAGGAAGAGCCCACGTGCCAAAACAAAGACCCAGTGCAACCAAAAAAAATAAAATAAAATAGAATCATTGGGGCCTGTCTTGGAGACATATCAATTCAGTTCAATTCAGTTGCTCAGTCGTGTCTGACTCTTTGCAACCCCATGGACTGCAGCATGCCAGGCCTCCCTGTCCATCACCAACTCCTGGAGTTTACCGAAGCTTATGTCCATTGAGTCGGTGATGCCATCCAACCGTCTCATTCTCTGTCTTCCCCTTCTCCCACCTTCAATCTTTCCCAGCATCTGGGTCTATTCCAGTGAGTCAGTTCTTCCCATCAGGTGGCCAAAGTATTGGAGTTTCAGCTTCAGCATCAGTCCTTCCAATGAATATTCAGGACTGATTTCCTTTAGGATGGACTGGTTGGATCTCCTTGCAGTCAAGGGACTCTTAAGAGCCTTCTCTAACAGCACAGAATCAGAGCAGGTGTGTGGAAATGGGAGTCTACCCTCCCCCCTGCTTCCACCTCCAAGAGCTTGATTGCATGAAGTACTTTGGGGGCTGGGTGGCCCCAAAGAAGAGTAATGTTTAGGAGCATGGATATAAAACTTATTAATGGGACTTCTCTGGCAGGTCCAGTGGTTATTCTTATGGAGATTAAAAAACACCTTGATCCCTACCCCACAGTACACATACACATGAATTATTCTAACTGGATCATCAGTGTATGAGCTAAAACCATAAAATTGTTTAGAAGAAAATAGAAGATCTTTCACATACACCTTGAGATAGGCAAAGATTTCTTGGACTCAGAAAACAAAACACATAAGAGAGAAATAATGAATAAATTTGCACTTCAACAAAATTAAAAGCTTCTCATCAAAAGATACCATCAAGAAGATTAAAAGGCAAACCACAAACTGGGAGATGTTTGGGAGTGATGTGTGTATGTATATTGTATATATTCAACAAATGATTTGTATTTAGAATATATGAAGAACTCATACAATGCAATAATAAGAACATAAAGAACTTAATTTTTATTTATATATTTTTTATTTCGTTGGCCACACCATATGGCTTATGGGATCTTTTTTCCCTGACAACGGATTGGACCCAGTCCCTCAGCAGTGTAAGTGCAGAGTCCTAACAGTTGGACCACCAAGGAATTCCTAATAAAGAACTTAATTTTTAAATAAGTAAAAGATTTCAACAGACACTGTCAGAGAAGCTATCCAGATTGCAGATAAACACATGAAAATTTGTTCAACATGATGCATCATTAAGGAAATACACATTAAAACCACAATGATATGGTATCTCATGCCCACCAAAGTGGCTAAAAGACTGACCATATCAAGTGCTGACAAGGATTTAGAGTAACTAGAGCCCTCATACATTGCTGGGGGGAAAGTAAGTGACTTTCAAAGTGACTCCACCACTTTGAAAAATAATTTGGCAGTTTCCTTTAAACAGACAGATTGACCATGCGACCCAAAAAAATCCCACTTGGATATTTCCCCACGAGAAACGAAAACGTGTTCAGCACAAGTTCATAAGCAAACTAAATCAGCTGGTAAATGGATAATAATAATGTATTAGTCCATTCAACAGAGTGCTAACAAGCAATACAAAAAGGAGCAAGCTACTGATTCATGAAACACATAAATGGGTCTCAGAACCATTATGCTGAATCAAAGAAGCTAGACACAGAAGGATACATGCTTATAAGGTTCCATTCACATGAGATGTTTAAGCAGGAAAACTCACCTATGGAGACCAAGAGCAGATCAGTGTTGCCTGAGGTGGGAGATAGGAAGACTGATTTCAGAGGGGCACAAGGGGGTTTTGGGGGGTGATGGAAATGTGCCAAAGCTTGACTGGGATTCTTGCTTGCACAGTGGATACTTTTGTCAACAGTCAATGAGCAAGTCCATTAAAAATTTTTTTAAAATAATTTTTACATATTTGGCTGCATGAAGTCTTAGTTGCGGCTCTTGGGATCTTTAGTCATGGCATACAAACTCTTGGTCAAAGCATGTAGGATCTAGTTCCCTGACCAGGGATCGAACCTGCTGGGCCCCTGCATTGGGAACTCAGAGTCTTACCCACCAGACCACCAGGAAAGTCTCAAACAGATGTCTTTTAATGCATGTAATTTATACTTCAATTATATAGACCAAAACAATGTTTTCTGTTGCTACCACTTTAATTTTTCTGATCTGAGTGGGGCTGAACATTTTCCCATGGGCATCCTGGTCTCCCAGAACCTTTTGAGCCTTGGGGTGATTCTGTCAGTGGATGGGAATGAGCCCATGTACCCTGACTTCCAGGTTGTGCAGCTACGACATGACCCAGTCCCAAGTAACCCTGATGGCTCAACTCAGATCTGAACAGTACCCGATCCTCGTCTGTACCAAGTTGGTGGAACCGTTCCAAGCCCAGCTGGGCTCCCTCTACACTGTCCTTGGGGAACTGGAGCATCAGAAGGGTAAGCCTTGACCTCACATAGTCTATTGGGTGCTTGGGCCTGGCTTCTAACCCAGCATGGGTCCCTCATTGGGGTTAACATTCCTTCCAGATCAGTAGGGACTCAAGGGAAAGAGATGTGACCGCCTTCCCAATGGACCAGCGAGAAAGCGGGGAGAGAAATCCTTCATTTCTGAAGGTCTAGAATGTGCCAGGCTTGTGGTTTGCTTAAAAGTTTTTGAATCTACTCACCAGCCCTTAATCTTAGTTATCTTATGGCTATTTCATAGATGAGAAAACCAAGACCCAGAGAGGTTGGAGTAAGAGGCCAAGAAGTAACAGGGGCTAGAGTCAGAGGCCAGGAAGTCAGGGTGAGAGAAATAGAAAAGAAGCAACCTGGGAGAATCTCTGTGGCGTCGGGAGTAGAAGGTTGCAAAACTTTAAAACCTGGATACTTGGATTCTTTGCCTCCCTCTCTGGCTGACCCTGCGCCATTTTTGTCCTATGGTTTATATAACTAGAACATCCTGTATCTGGTTATTCGAGTTTAACATTATTTCATGAGGATTCCTCTGTTGCCGGTACCAGCTGGCAATGTGAACAGGTCCCGACCACAGCAGCACGGAAGCCTGAGAAAAAGAAGCTGAAAGTAAGGGATGGGGTCGAGAGGGCTGAATGCTCTTTAGGCAAGTCAGCAACTTTATTGAGTGAAACAGCTACTTTTATACTAGTACAAGTAGGAGACATCATACATAAGGAATGCCACCTGGTTTTAACCACATCAATACAATTTTTTTGTCTTAAGTGATTGCAGAAGCTTACATCTTGTTTTTGGTATTCCAAGATAAACTACTAAGTGAAGGTCACTACTATGTTTTTCTCAAGGAAGAACAAAGGAGACCCAGCAGATGTTTTACTACTTTATCATGGGGTGGCGGGACAGGGAATGGCCTCTTTCAAGGCTTTCCCAGGGCCTTTTTGGGCCTTGAGCAGGCCGGCTCCCTGCACTCTGTGTCTTGAAATTTTTTCTTAAGTATTTAATGGCTATATAATATTTTATAGATTCGATGTATATACTAATTCACACAGGGCTTCCCAGGTAGCTCAGTGGTAACGAATCTGCCAGCCAATGCAGGAGACACAGGAGACTTGGGTTCAACCCCTGGATCAGGAAGATCCCCTGGAGGAGGAAAGGGTGACCCTTTCCCGTACTCTTGCCAGGGAAATCCCCTGGACAGAGGAGCCTGGTGGGCCATAGTCCATGGGGTTGAAAAGAGTCAGACACAACTGAGCATGCACACACACACACACACGCACTTGTTGGTCCTTTAATGGACCGGAACCTGGTGGTTCCGAGAGTAAGAGAGAGAAAGAGGCTGACATCCCCTGGTTTACGCGGAGAGCTGATAGAGCCCTGTTCTCAGGGCTCGCGCTGCTGCACGGAGGCACCGGGCGCCCTCTCGAGTGGGTGAAGGCACAGTGCGCCTTCCCGAGAGGGTCTCAGAAGCCCGGGCAAGAAAGTGAGCTCAGCGGGCCTCCGCGCTCCAAGGAATTAGCCAGAAATAGAGAGAGAAAGAGAGAAGGAATAGAAAGAAAGAAAGGACACAGGGACCAAAGCTCTGATGGAGCAAAGGTGTTTTAATCAGCATGGCGTGGGCATATATACTGTCTTGCAAGGTGGTTATTCTCAGCAAAGACTAAAGATTAAAATTCCAAACTTACAAATCATAAGACGATCCCTATCAAAGAGAGAGAGTTGCAAACAATCACCCCTTACCATTTGGCTCATAAAAAGGAAGAGGGTACTTATCACCGTAATGAGAAATGCCTGGATTCCTCAGCCCCAGGAAAGGCGTGCCTCTCCTCTTAATTCCTGAATATTCAGGAATCAATAAGGACCGGAGGGTTCCTGACAGATCCAGAACAGCACACGGGAAGCCTCTAGTTAAATGCTTCCTGACAATTCACCCTATTTTATTATATTTGTTAAAAAAAAAGGTCCTGACCAAATGAGTTTGGTTAGTATTAACCAACCTTACAGAAAGGAGACGATAAACAACAAATATAATTATCAAGACAATTACCAAAGTTACAGTTTTAGACCCGATGTTGTGGGTAATACTTTGAAACCATCTTTGTGGGTCTAGCCCGGATAATTTGTTCAGCTAAAGTTTCCAAATTAGTGGGAGAGGGCAGACGTTTAGAAAAAGTTTTAAAGATTTCCTTTTTGCAGTAATTGTACATTCAGAGAGGCATTATCAAGTAAATGAAATTTGATTTGTTCCCAGCTGTAGGTACTATGATTGAAATGAACAGGAGTAACACAAAATTGGCAATTAATACAAGTTACAGATCAAGTTGTAAATTTCTTATGGCTATAACAAAAGGAAGTGGGACACAGGCCTGTATAAAATATGACTGATTATAGCAAAAGAAATAGTTACTAGGACCACGACTAGTCTCTGTGAAATGTCCGGTCCGAGTCCCAAGTTCTTTGGTGCTGTCAGCAAGTTTCCGTATGTTTTATATGTCTATAGTTCAGGCCCAATTTGTTTATCGAGGATGATTTGAGGAGGAGGAGGAGGGTGTCAGCCAAGAAGTTCTTTGTCATGGTAATGTTTCAACGTTGTGTTAGTAACCTTTTACTTAATGTTTTTTTGTTCTTTCCCTAACTCTTTCCCTAAAGTTTCAGTAGTAAACATGGATCACAGACAGAAAAGGGGCAGCAATGTCCGAAAGTCTTCTTTTGGAGGCAGGACGAAAGCCCAAGTTTGTCGGCCGACATTTATGTATAGTTTTCCTGGGCCCAGGCAATGGAAGGACTTCATAACCTAAAGAAATGTTAATTAGTTTTCCCGCCTCCCCAGGGTGTGAGGGTTCCAGGGAGGGGGGCAAGTGGGTGGAGCCATTGGTTGATACGCTGGGTCTTTTCTCTCTCCATTTTATGACCTGAAATAAAGGGGGGTTGGGTAAGTAAGTTAGTTAAACCGGCTTGATCGGGGGGTGGGGGGGGGGTGTCGCAGGCCAACGGAGTGTAGTGATAAGGTTTCAGGACTCTGAGGCATTCCCTGTTGAGAAATCAGATTTTTAACTTGATTAGTGAGGGTTTTTATTTGTCCCCAAGTGGGGAGATCATAGGGTTGATGTTGCTGAGAGCGGTGCTTTCTGGAGATCTTTAGAGCAGCCATGGCCTGTATTGGAATTTCTTCCTCTCGGGGTTCTTGTTTCCATTTTGAATGTCAGGGGCCCCCTTGGGTCGAATTTTCCAAGGAAAAAGTTTGTTGGATCCACCTGGGGAAATACAAGCATATCCCTTTCCCCGTAAGATTAATTTCTCAAATTTCTATTGTTTATTGAACCCATCTTGGTCCCAAATGGGCAAAGGAAGAGAAGTGTCCTTCAATTCCTCGAAATCTTTCTTCTCTTGTTAAAATATTTCCCTGTGGTAGGTTTAAAAAATTTAAAACAAATAGAGCAGTATTAACAATAATTATGAGTTTAGAAAATATCTTATGTTGGAATCTAGTAAAGTCTGCTTTAGATAAGGAAGACAGTAGTGTTCCTGTGTATTCCCCCTTTTTTAATTTTTTTATTTGTAACGTTAGTGTGTGATGTGCTCATTCAACTATGCCTTGTGCCTGTGGATTATAAGGAATACCTGTAATATGTTTAATAGAAAAAGATGGTAAAAATTGTTTAAAGTATCTGGAAATATAGGCAGGGCCACTGTCTGTTTTAATAGAACTAGGAGCTTATGGTGAAGGTTTCTATATCTTTCAATACAAAAACTGAATATTTATAATCAGAGACTATATTAATGGGGTAAGGATATAGGCAAATAACTTGAATAAGAGCATATAATTTATTTTGTTGAGCAGAATGAAATTTAGTGTAAAAGACTTTGTATTTTTTAAGAGACCAGGAAGAAGCTTTGGCGTTTTTAGTCTCATCTATATAAAAAACCTCAGCTTGTGGTATAGGCTGTGAGCTGATAATGTGAGAAATAATAAATTCAGTATTTTTGAAGAAATTCCACAGCTTACCAGAAGGATAATGAAATGAAAAATTTTCCAAAATATTCCAGAAAAGCTATTTGGAAATCAGTATATGTTTTTAATGTGTTCTCAAATTGAGACTTATTTGTCATAAAGTTTTATTAAAGTATAAAGGAGATAGAGAAAGCCTCTGACATAGGCATCAGAAGGGGGCGGAAAGAGTGCCCCCCGTTAGTCTTTCGCCAGGTGTCATAGAACTACCAGCAGTCTGTTAATTAGAGAAAGGAAATGTCTCAAAACTGAAGAAAATAGCACCAGGCCCCTCATCTACAACATGCATTTTGAGATAACCTTGGCACCAGGTGAGTTGTCTCAGGCCACAAAATGATTGACATGCGTCTTGAAGAAAGGCAGGTTTTCAAGCAAATACACTTTCATTAACATAGCTTAAGGAAACATTTGCATGAGTAAAACATACCAGTTTGTCAAGTCTGTTCTGAGTCTTAGGCAGAACCAACTTGAAGACAGAGTCTGGGGTAAATGTATAGCACATTAATATAGCTGAAGACAAACTTTCCCATAAGAAAAATGCATTGGTTAACTCAGGGTTTGAGAATAGTTAACTTTAAGTGAAACCAGGTGTCATTATGGCAACACAGTATTTTAAGAGAAACCTCTTTTTAAATTTGTATAGAGAAGAAAAAAAATATATATATATATATCGCTAGGTTTTTTTCTTCCTGCTGCTTAAGAAAGATAAAAATGTCTGACACTTGCAGCCTTTTTTTTGTTTTTTTTTTTTAATTTGGAGACCCCTGTCCTTTTTGCCTGTTAAGTCAAACTAGATTGGCCAATAAAAGACTGTAGGTTTGTGGGGGCAGGGGCCCAAAAAGTCCAGTAGGTATTTTAGAGAGGACTGCTTGAGGGTAAAGGAGTTTAGGGCTGGTATATCGAGGGCAATGCTGCGGGATGTTGAGGGTTTGAGGGAAAAGATGGAATTTGCCCCTGATTTTTGTTGAAGGGGACC